CCCTGATGTCTTTGAGAAAACAAGTTGCTGCCGCTGCTGACGGGACACGGCGGGTCGAGGCTGAAGAGCTTGGAGACGTAGCGGCTGCCGCCGACGGGCGCGGGCTTGGAGCGCCGCTCGGAGATGGCGTTGGAGAGGGAGGTGAGGATCTCGAGGTAGTGCGCGGCCTGGTGGCTCTGGGCGGCGAGGAAGGCGAGGACGTCGATGGCGCCCTGGAAGGCGCGGTCGGTCTCGATGTCGATGGCGGATTTGGCGAAGTTTTCGACGCCGAGGACGAGGCCTGCTGCGAAGACGAGAGCTCTGTTGGTGGTGATTAGTGCATGTTGTCTTACACGCATAGACGGGGAGAGAGACATACTTCATGATACACATGCTCCGCTGCAACAGCCCCGCCTTGAGCGCGTCGGCGCACGTCTGGGCGAGGTACACGGCGGCGTCGATGCAGGCCGCGGCGAGGGGCGGGTGGTGGATCTTTGCGTCGGAGCGGTTGCTGTTCAGGGAGGAGATGAAGACCGGGCGGGTGGCGAGGGTGACGGCGAAGTAGTACAGGCAGGAGACGTGGATCTTTGCGATGGCGACGCGCTGGGTTGACGACGAGGAGGATTCTGGCTCGGACGGTTGGTGGTGGTGGAGGGAGCCCTTGAGGGACGGGGGCAGGCCGCGCTTCCAGGCGTCGATCTTGAGGAGGAGGTGCTCGACAACGGTGGCGGAGACGTCCTTGTCGTGGTAGAGGGTGTTGTTGATCTCGTTGATGATGTCGATGATCTCGCAGGTCGCGGTGAGGCACTGGGCTGCGTAGTCGTCGGGGTGGGGGGGCAGCTGGTCGAGGGCGGCGCGGATGTCGGTCTGGACGCCGGCTGTGGCAGCGGGGCGGCCGAGGAGGGAGTTGACGAGCTTGTCGAGGATGCGGACGCTGATCCAGACTCGTAATCTGGTGGATATAGATCAGAATGGTGAGAGAGGGTGTGAGTTGGAGGACGACGTACCGTAGTTGGCCCTTTTGGTCCGGCTTGCCCATGAAAGAGCTGGGACTGTGGAGGCCGAGGGCGAGGGCGGCGCGGGCGGCGATGGAGAGGTACATGTAGGCCGTGTTCCTGCGGCACTCGCCCAGCATGTAGAAGGCCATCAAGAGGAAGAGTCGGACCATGTGAAGGTCGGGGTCCTCGAGGAGCTCTGCGAATGCTTGGCGCTGCGCTCGTCGGAAGCAGCTCCGGCCGATGGTTTGCGCCTCGGACGCGCTGCTGCACTGCGCGCCTATCGCTATTACCATTTCTCTGATGGGGTCGGGAAGGATGTTGGGCGGTGTTGAGGGACGGTCGTCGCATGTGTTTGTTGATGACTGGCTCTGAGCTAGGTGGTAGAGCTGCTGGCGTTCACTCGGGTCGAAGATGTCGATGAGGCCTTCGGTCTGTTTTGTTGTGAGTCGTTTGTATTAGACTATGAGAAGGAGTTTACGTACTGCAGAGTAATAGCAATGCAGATACGCCAGCTTTTGTTGCACATTCAGTTCAACTGCGGTTTCTGCCGTTGGGGAAGTCGTGGCGCGTGTTTCTGGTGACTCGACTTCGAGCATCGTCTCGGTGTCATCGTTGTGTGAGAATGGAGAGGGACCGATCTGCCCGGCGACGACTTGGCGGACTGTTTGGAGGAAGGATATCGCTGCGGCGCCTCCCACGTACACTGGCCATGAAGCGTTAGGATGAATAGGAAGTTATCAGGAGACCTCACGCACCCTGTTCACCGTGCAGACTTCGAAGCATTCGCGACGGGTTCGCCAGCAGGGATGGATCCGTCGCAACCTGCGTTTCTCTTGGCGGCGTCAAAGGCCGCGGGTCAACATTCATACTCGTCTCCTCATCCTCTTGCTGAGAAGCGGGCGGCGACAGGCGAAGTTGTCTCTGCCCATTCGCATTCCTACGCGACCGATCCCTTGGTGACACCGGCGAGCTGACCGAGACCGTGATGGACTCATTATCCAAAGCCGGCGTCGCGCGGGACCTCCTCGTCCCCCTGCCCGCACTGCTTTTTGAAATCTTCCTCGTCCTCGACCCTCGCGGCAGCTCAGTCATACAGCAATCCCGCTCCAGCCCGCGGCGCACGCATTGCGTACACGGCGCGGTGCCGCTGCACCTCTTCTTGGCCTCGCGACAGAAGCTGCAGGCCTCCGCGGCCCTCTGGCGCAGGCTCTCGGGGACTTTGGGGCGAGGCATGGCAGATGTGTTTGGAAAATGCGAAACGACTAGCACGAATGGCGAAATCGCATCCCTTGAATTCATGGAGTAATGGGAAAAGGAAAATCTGGGGTTTGGAGGGGTGACTTACACAGACAAGCCTTCTGGATGGGGTCGGCTGCCGGCTTCCGGGGGGGCGCTGGATCCCCTGCTGCCGGGACGAAACCCCACTACGGAAGTTCCTAACGAATTCCGGACCCCATACCCCACACATCATCTGCCAACGTCACTGCGCCCGGTTGATAACGAAGATTTGGGGTTGAAGGATTTGGGGCACGTGAGCTCAGTAAGGGCATGCAGGTAGAGGTGGCTAGTCATCGTTTACAAGCTCTGTGCTGCTGAAGGAATGGCGCCGTATGATGACGTGTCTAGCTCTCTTGAAGGGGGTTGTACACGACGAACATGTGCACGCCAGTCTTTGATGGCGGGGTTTCTTATAAATGGGACTATTGATCGAATTCATAAATCCCATGTCTCTTTTGCGGTTTTGCATGATCGGATTCTGGGAAGGTGATTACAAAATATTGTAATTTTTATCATATTCAATGAACCAAGGATATTGATCTAATCTGCATTAAATGCCACAAAGCCTGTCCATAACTAAGTCCTGGATATTTACATTATCTAACTCGACAGTTTCGCCTCGCTATCCTTGAAATCCGGCAGCTTGAAAAGCTTCTTGGCGTTGTCTCTTCCAATCTTCCTCTTATCAACGACATTGATGGGAAGAGCGTCGTACCAGTCACAACCATCCGCGAACGATTCGAAAGGGTAATCAATGGAGAAAAGAATCTTGTCGGCGCCGACCTCAGTCATGCAGAACTGCAAGGTGGTTGTTGAGAAATGACCACTTGTTGTGATCCACAGGTTGTCCTGGATGTATTCGCGCAGCGTCTTCTTGATGGACAACCCCAGAGGCTTCTTAACGTCTTCAAACCAATGGGAGATTCTCCAAGCATCAAAAGGGCTCGCGATCGTTAATTTGAGGTATTCAGGATGCTTGGAATGTTGGGAAACTCACATATGCTCGCCCAGATGGCCGAGGATGATTTGGAGCTTGGGGTGGCGGTCGAAGACGCCGTTCGTGACCATACCAAGCACGTGCAGACTAACACCCTGCGCAAAGCTCAGGGGAGGACCAATAAGCCATGAGCGCTTAGCCCAGAGCTTCTCGTGAATCGAGCCGGTCGGGTTCCTGGGGTGCAGGTAGAAGGGAACATCCAACTCGGTCACGGTGGACCAGAACACGTCCCACTCAGGGCCATCATAGAAGATCATATCGTCTCCATCAGGACCAGCACGCTGAGTGTCGTTGACAAGAGCGCCGAGGAATCCGTATTGTGTCACACAGCGTCTGAGTTCATCTGCAGCCTCCTGGGGATCGTGCATGGAAAGCGTGCTGGTACCGCATTAGCTCGACGCCGTTCTTTTCTTTTTCCCTAGCGCTAAATTCGGCAGGAACTCACGCGAACGCGCCAAAACGGTTAGGGTGCTTCTTAACTTCCGGGGCGATGTAGTCGTTGATCTCCTTGGCCAGGATCTGAGCCTCCTTGGGGTCCCAGATGTCCTGCACACCGGGCGCGGTGTACGACAGGATTGTGAAGCCGACGCCGTGCTTGTCCATGTAGTTCAGTCTGATGTCGGCGACATCTGAGATCTCGGCGGCGTGCTTCTCGGGGTCGACGGCGAAGAGGGACGCCCACCAACGGGTCTTTTCTTGGAATCTCGGGAGGGCGAAGGCCTCCTCCAAAGCGATCTTGCCAAGCATTTTGAAGGTTTTACTGATTACGAATGAAGGGTTATGAGATCGTTTCCGTAAGGTCGTGTGAGATTCGCAGGAGGATGAAGAGTGTAAATGCATATGAAGTCAGATGAAGCCTGGAATAAGGCTCGACTTCTCTGGGCACGCGAATGACATTTATATGTAGATGCAGCTCCCGGCTGTATGCGACTTCATCGTCACACATAAGCCGAAACGGCCGTGGGATGACCGCTTGGCACAGATGCTTCCCCGTGGGAGCCCCAATTCCCCCTCTCTCCCACCGGAGACGCGACTATGCACCGGGCCGCCGAGGTTCTTTCCGCGTCGGGTGCTTCATGACCCTGTTCCCGGTGTGTTATCAGGGTAGCTTTCTTTTGTATTGCAGAAATAGTGGTAAACCAGACTAGTTTGAACATCTCCAGGAGGAGGTTCCGTCCAGGTGTTCCGCATTGTCGGGTAGCGCACCAGAACACGGTGTGGGGTCTGCGGCGGGTACGGTCGTCTGTTCCCTCAGCCGCTCCGACCCGATGTCTACTGGATCACTGTCTATTGGAATGTGAGACGATGCTGCCGAAAATATCTTCACATTTGGCATCAGACAATTTGTGGAGAAGCGTTCTAAGGCACTATCAAAATATACTGAAGCATGGATACCACACAAAGCTTAAAAAGTTCTTTGAAGTCAGACCGTTCATAGGTGCGTCTTGCCCCAAGAAAAGCGACACAGGTTGATGACAATCGATTGACTATCCTGACCATGTTATTTCACAATTAACAGCCTGAAATCAGACCCTAAACTCAAAAGCTTTTGCTAGGACTGTGAAGGTTCATTTGGCCTTTCCCAACCACGTCCAAAGCCCGGCATGAGATAAAGTCAGGGACACGTTGGCAAGCTGACGGAGAAACGAATCGCGAATACATGAAAAAGATACTCAGTCCGTAGAAAAAGGAGGTAAAAACGATGAAAGAGTTGTCACAGGCCATAGTCACCAGCAATATAGGTACCCTTAAAAGTTATGAAGAGGGTCACCGATCAAGCCAGAGAGTTTACTAACGTCAACGCCACTGCACTGTTTGAAGATACCACCGCCAAACCCAGCCAAGGCAGAGCCCACGGTAGACTGAAGGCTTGCGACGTAGCTCCACTGTGCATAACGGTCAGCTCATGCCCGGTGGAAAGTTGAGCGACTTACCTGAAAGGCTGTTATGCCCTTGTCATGATACGCCAACCAGCGGGAGGTCTGGTTGGAGTTCTGGCCGTACTGAAATGAATCATCGACAATGACGGTGTAATCTCCGTCGTCGGCACTCCTGGAGAAGAAGCTGAAGAGGTAGCTGAACCAACCGGCTGACGAGCGAATGTTTTTGTTCTTGAAAGAGTCGAGATAGCTTGTCTGTATGAAGAGGATGCTCTGCTCATCTCCTGTAGTAGAGTTAGCCGGGGTATCATAAGAACGAAGCTGTTGGCAGAGACTGCAAAGAGTGCTCACCTTTGTCTTTGTTGAAGAAGGGAACAGATTAGTAGTCTTGGGAATGCATCTTGAGACTCTGTTGCCATTCGACCGTCACCTTTTTGTTGGTGATCTCGCTGGCAGGGACGTGGATTCTGTTGCCCTTTTCGACGACCATTTTGACGTGGCTTGATTGATGTATCTTGCTATAATTTTGAGTAGATAGTTTGAGAAGAATTACTCCAAGTAGGTAGGTACAATTGGGGTGTTGTATTGAAGGACAACAGCTCTTTATCAGACCTCATCTCATGCTGATCGACATGTGGCTGCCCCTCATTTCCAAGAGAATTCACAGAACCATTTCGTAGGTTCGAAACCTTACACCAAGCTTTCCCTTGGTCCCCTTCTTTGAGACCCAAATGTCGCGATACTTGGGATAGTGCATTCCTGATCTAGTTCATTCCGTCGGCAATTGGGCGCAGCTGTCATTTGAACTCAGATTGAGACGGCCTCTTCACAGCGCTGCCCCGTGCAATATTCACGTATTGCGCCTCAACGCGATGTTTACGAGCTTCATCGTCAAATACAACATTGCTTCCGCTAAAAGGCAAGGGAGTATGTCGATATGATGTCACTCATCAAATTCACGAATGAGAATTAGAATAGGAAAAACCCCGAAAAGATGGATGGATGAAGCTTTCTCCGAGTCCCTGAGTTCAAATCTGACAAGCCTCCACAACCCTCGGTCCCTTCCGCTCCCTCTGCACCCCGCCTTTGCATTGGTCTAGACCAAGATGTCAGGGTTCAACCCAGGCTGTCACGATTTGCGGTGAGTGTCTCGCCCGATCACTCTCAGCCCAGAACATCCAGTTGCGGGGGAGAAACCACCATCCCAGGCATCCAAGGTGAAGGGTTTCATAATATCCTTTAGCATGTGCATCTCTAAACTGCTTTCACCGTCTCGCCACTCCGTAGAATCAATACTTGGCTTGCGTGTCTAGATACTCCCGTCACTGCCGGAGGGCCGGAAGCCTTGTGCCAATCATAACAGGTACCCCGCCGACACTTCGGCATCCCTACGCAGCAATTGGCCCCACTGATCGGGCCCGGCTGGGCCATCAGGCTTTATAATTTTCGCAAATTCTTAGTCAGGTGTCGCTGAAAGAACTGGGTGGCCGGATGAAGATATCTTCTGGCTTGTGGCGAATTCTGAGGCTGGCGTCCTAGTCTATGCTCTGAGTTGCGAGAGAACGCGTTGAACCTGCTATCTGGCGACTGGGCCGTCTTGTTAACTACGCATGTACCGTAGAATGCCAAACTTCATCCGGAGCCCTTTCCCGATCTTTGCTGCAGACAGATAAGTCATGACACGAAAGGGCCGCCTGTCGATAGGTCAATGCGCATTAAGAATCATGGCTAACTATTTTTACCTGCGGCTGATGGAGAGACCACAGGCTCCCCGCCTCCCCAATGAGAGGCGCCGTTGAAGTGCGACCGTGAAGAGAACAAAATAAATATGATGCTTGAATATGATATATGTATGATGTGCCATATTTTCGTCGGCATCCATGGTCTCGTAGCTAGTTACTGCCAGGTGGCCAAAATATCTTCCCAGGTGATTTAACCAGCTTTCCCCCTTTCCAAACGTATCTAATATTGTCGCGGTCTACAAAAAGCTTCATGTTTTCCAGGGGATCAGCATCAAAAGCAATGAGATCAGCGTCCCATCCCAATTTCACAAGCCCCTTCTTTGGTGTGAAAGCCCCAAGTGTCTCCGCAGCATTAATGGTGGCAGCTTCGATGGCTTGTAGTGGAGTTAAGCCGGCCTTCGTTGCTAGATAGACTTCTTCACAGTTGTGCCCAGGGGATAGAAGGTCCCGAGGGTCGCTGGAGCATATGTCGGTTCCGAGAGCAATCTTTACCCCCAAACTGACCGCTGTACAGTAGGCCTTGTGAGCTATGCCGGCTATGTGCTTCAGCTTCGCTGCTGTCTCAGGGGGCATGCGATCGAGCTTCTTGAGACCGGCATGAGTGATGTAGGCGGTGGCTACGAGAGTCACACCGTGCTTGACCATCAACTGGGCAACTTCCTCGTCAATGTAGCTTCCGTGCTCGATGGTCCGAACTCCAGCCTTCACCGCAGCGATGATGCCTTGCTTGCCATGGGCATGGGCAGCAACAGTTCTCCCTTGCATTGCAGCCTCATCCACAATAGTCCGAAGCTCTTTGTCAGAGTAAGACCGAAAGCTAGGGTCTTCATTGACGCTCATCACGCTGCCGGTGGCGAGCACCTTAATGACGGTTGCCCCACGACGAATCTGCTGGCGGACAGCCTTTCGGCACTCTTCAACACCATCTGCCAACGCGAAAATGGATTGACCAGACCAAAGTCGTTGACCGGCATTATCCGTACCTTGCCGCGACCACACCGTGTCGAGAGGTAGGGTGACAGCATCGCAACCTCCGCCAGTCATGCCGAGGGCAGCACCGGCGCCATAAACAGTCGGTCCCATGATGTAACCAGCTTTGACCGCAGCGTACGCTTCGAGGCCGTAACCGGAGAGCTCCTTCACGCTGGTGACGCCGGACATGAGAGTATCGTAGAAGCCGCGGGTGATGGCTGCGCCAGCCGTGGCGGGATGACCGAGAATTATCTCAGGATAGTCGACTTTACCAATGCCGCAGTAGTGTATGTGACAATCCCAGAGACCGGGCATGAGACAGGCGACGTGGGCTCTGGGGGCAGCCGCAAGCTCATCGTCAATGCCGGCTTGTTTGCCAACATAGGTGATGGTGCCTGACTTGATCGATATTCCTACGGCTGCTTGATAGATGGGGTCGCCGCGGCCTGGGATAAGCTGGTCGGCGAAGATGCATGACAATTCGCTATCCTTAGGCTTTGAATGCTGCGCGTGTTTAAGTCTAGGAGATGAAACGATATGCCATTCATCTTCATCAGAAGGCGAACATGTCGTTTGTGTCTGGCTTGCCTGTTCGGATACGCCAAGCAAAAACTCCGAACAGTGAGCGCAGGCCATAGCTGAAGAAGGGGTCGTCCAGGTGAGGGTCTGACTAGTTGGCAACGAAAGAACATCAATGTCAATCATAACCCTGGAGTCCACAATATAGCCTGTCGTCAAAAAAGATGTCCTCGGTCACAAAAGTCGTGGGGGTAAGTGATTATCAAGATGCCCCCCCACAACGCCACGATAAGCTATCATTTATGCGGGAGCGCAGCCGTTGACTCGATACAGTAACTCGATCGCGGGGGCTCCATGTTGATTGGTCGACATCACCCTTGAATTGAACCGCGTTTTTACGCTGTAATCTGGGCCAACAATACTTGCGGAAAGTCTTGACGTTGTTCTTCAATCATATTCTATTCGTCAACGAAAATGGCTCCAATCTCCGACCTATTATCCCAACGTGCCATCAAAAGCTTCACCCTAGGCGAAGGGGCAGATTACTTCTGGAAAGTAAAGAAACTCCCACAATACGAGGCAGAAAAAAGACCAGATGGGTTCATTGATCTGTCTGGATCTGTGAATAACCTTATGCACGACTGGACGAAGGAATACGCCGACGAAGCGATCCGCGGTATGGATGCCCATTCACTGCTGAACTACGGCCCCCTTCATGGTTCAAAAGACGTCCGGCATGGTGTTGCCAACGTTTACAACAAATTCTTCAGTCCGAAATGTCCCATTTATGTCACGAGTGTTTTCGCAACCAATGGCGTGAGCTCAGCAATCGATATGCTCGCCTGGGTTCTTGCAGACCCAGGTGACAAAATATTGATCCCAGCTCCGACGTTCTTCATGCTGGACTTCGACTTGGCAGCACGGAATGAGATCAAGGTAGTCAAGGTCGTCACAGACCATCTCGAAGATCCTTTTGGTCCCGGTTCCGCTGAAGAGTTTGCCGAAGCCATTGCCATGGCAGCGGACGGTATTCACGGTAGTCGGGTACGTGCCGTCTTTCTCTGTCATCCCCAGAACCCACAAGAACGTTGCTACTCCAAACAAACCCTCCGTGCGTTGGTCGAAACGTGCCGTCAACGGGGCTTGCAACTAGTGGTTGATGAGATATACGGCCTATCGCATTTCGGAGGCGAACTCGAGCCTTTCACCTCGGTCCTGGGTGCCACGGACCAGAGATCAGAAAGCCATGTGCACAGTCTCTGGGGCTTGAGCAAGGATTTTGGAATGGGCGGTCTGAGACTTGGATTCATTGTCTCTAGAAATGAAACATTGAGAGAGGCTTTGGCCAGGATCTCGTGAGTTTCACCCATTACATCTTCGAGCTTGGTTTCTAAACCATGCATGTTAATGAATCATGGCATAAGTTGGTTCACCTGGCCGACTTCGTTCTTCGATAGCTTTGTGTCTCGCCTGCTTCAAGACGAATCAGCTTTTGAGAACTATGTACGCACATACCAAAGCCGGCTTGCACAGGCTTATGAGAAGGTAACGGAAGCTCTCCTTCAACATCAGATTCCGTTTCAGCCGGCAACTGCTGGGTTGTTCATCTGCATTGACCTGAAAAGGTGGATCAACCAATTTGAGGGAGCAGATGACCCCGAGTTGCAGTTGTGGAAATATTTTGTGGATTCAGGGGTTGGCGTCAATCCAGGAAAGGTAAGCTACAGAGTAAAATTGTTGATACGAGTCAAGTGGCTGATCCATAGCTTAGTTCGCAGGCAGTACCGAAGCAGGCTTTTTTCGGCTGGTATTTACCAAAGATGTTGAGGCTACTGTTGTCGCTATCGTGAGGATGGGCTTGGCACTTGAAAGGCTCGAAGCGAATGTCCGAAAGAAATGGGATCCTACTTTGCGGAAGTAAAATCAAGGGTATGAGCGAGAAAATGTCATTTGAACTCGAGAAAGGATTGATTACTATCCTCAAAGATCACCGTGAGAAGGGCATCGTTTGTCGCGCGAGGATATGGGAGATATGTTGCGAATGACTGGCTTGAAGTGGTAGATTGTTGACTTCAATGGGAAAGCCATATGATAGGTCTTCGCGAAGTACTATGCCTATTGACTATGGAAACGAAAATGCTACAATCGGCACTTGTCGTCGTCGAGATTAAATCCATCTCTTAACTGCCATTTCCATACTGTAGCATTGGTATAAGACTGGACCACTTCGAAGCAAGGACCAAGGCTTCCCTCTGTTGGACAAATTATCGGGTCGCCTGACGCCACAATTTTGTACTCATCAACGGCTGATGAGCCAGCATACTTGGTGAGAAGATCAAAGTAGGCGTCTGTTGTACAGGAGGAGTCATCAAATCGACAGAGGTTCATCAACTCGACAACTACGTCGTCCAAACTCCGAGTATTATTCCAGCGAGCGCGCACCTCAGCGTCAACATTGGCCAAGTAGATGAGACCGCGGCCGTAGGGAACGGTTTGTGCCGTTGATACAGTCCACGAGTGATCCACCGCCTCTTGGTCGGTCAAGTTGATTGACGGGTTTTGGTAGTAGGCAATCGCCTTGGTGTTCATTGCCGTCACGTACTCCAACGTGCTGAGCAGCCCCGCGCGCCACAGGTTGCGAAGTGAGTAAAACTCGGCAGTGCCCTCCCAATATCGGGTTTGGTCGGAAAGATTACCATTGTATATGTAAAGCCAGTTATGGGTGATCTCATGAGCGAGAAGTAGCTCAGTGTCATTGGTGGTGGTTTTGTTCCGATCGTGCCACCCGAACGTGAAGGAGTTGTAAAGAGCTGTACCTCCTGTTCCGACGTTCTCATTGTATTGAATGAAGACCTTGTAAGGCTTGATGCCGTCATCTTGCCAGAACTTTGCCGAGTAATCGTAGAAATCTTTGATGAATGAGGCGAGATAGGTTACGTTGAAATGTGGCTGCTCAAGCCAGTACATGTTGAACTGGCTATCTTCTGATACAGGGGAGCTTGAGAGGATGGGTCCGACAGCAAAAAACGTACTCAGGAGATCGTCTGTGGTTCCGTTGATAGTGACAGGCTGAGGCCCTTCGCCCAAAGTCCAGACTCCTCTAGTCCCCGAAGGGGAGTTTGACAGGTCCCAGGACAAGGTAATTTGAAATTCAGTGGAAGTGTCATCGGGGACCGGGACCAAAGCCCATATTGATCCAAGAATGCCACCTGCATTTTCTCGGATGTCGAAAAGAGGACCCATTTTCGTCGTTTCGTTGACTTCACGGAGATGTGCGGTGAAGGAGATTGCGACAGGGGGGACAGCGTCTCTGGTAGCGTTCAAAAACCGGCTTGTCAGGCCAGAAGACCCAGTGCCCTCGGTGATGATCAGAGGAAGGGTTCCAGCTCCATCAGTTACAGTCAAAGACCCCGAATCGTATTGTGCAACGGCTGGCCGGCAATAGTGAGTGGAAGCGCGACCACTGTCTCGTTGGCTTTGAAAGAGATGTCCGTGGTGAGTTGACCACTCAAACTCTTCGTTCCATTATCAGGAGTCAAATTTGGAGTGAGGGTGATGTTGATGTGCGGGAATATAGCTGCGGTTGCCTGATTGGCAAAGGCCAGGGCCAAGAAAATGCTTTTCATCGCTTGATGGTTGGCGAGAAGGGCGAAGTCGACGGGAGAGAAACGAAGTCGTTAAACAAAGAGACTAAGTTGCCCGGATCTGATGAATCAAGAACATGATGAATAGTCATAGAATATCATGGATAGCGGGAGGATAAATACGCCTCCGAGACTGCTTGCAAATCCAGATATCATCAGTATTCTTCAGGAGCATTCCGGCACTCATAGCGCGACAAGGGTTGTTAAATGACAGTTCGTCATCGGTTGTGGAGACACTTTGAACCCATTTCCTAATTCGGGCAACAAGAACGCGGTCTCGTCTGGCGATGGGGCCTAGCCTAGCTTCACGAAGCAACCAAGAGGACGTAAATATACATACAATAGCTAATAGCCATGTCAGCAAAATTTGATCCTCGATCGCTCAGTCATTCTGTTTCAATATTCTTTTGCAATTCTGCACAGCCAACAAAGATGTCTCCTAGACGCGTAGGCTCCATTCTGCGATCCCTGCAAGATGGTCTCATACGTCTTGCTCCTGTTACGATCATCTTACATTCAGCTCAGCTAGCGTCCCCGGTAGCTTCAGCAGCTTCTGTCAACAATAATGCATGGAGTCTGGTGGCTACCGGAGACCTTCTTGGAGACGTCGTCACCACAAATGATTCCCGAACACAGGCATTGTGAGACATCACACGATCGGCGGATTTCGCCTTCTTCAACATGGAGGGCCAACTTTTCCGTGACGCAGATTTCACTGGATATCCTTCTTCGGAGAACGGAGGCGACAACGACTACGGGAATTTTGGTGGCGGACCAACCTATGATCCCAGTCAGGCGCTCCTCCTTGCAGGCCTTGGCTTCAACTTGGCCTCTCAAGCGAATAACCACGTCTGGGACTATGGATTCGACGGTTATCATGAAACAAGAAACAATTTAGAAGCCGCCAACATTACTTCCGCTGGATCTGGAGCTAGTCTGGCGGAAGCTCGCAATGCCTCCTTCGTACAGCGCGGTAATACGCGCCTTTCTCTCGTCTGTGCCGCCGGAACCCATACCCCCGAGTCGGTCGCCGGCGCCGGGGACCCCTCGGACAACCTTGCCCCGCGACCTGGTGTCAGTGCTCTTTGCACATCGCTGACCACAGTTGTTGATGGCGAGACCTTTGCCAACATTCTTCGTGTCGCTCGTGCCCAAGGACAATCGGATTTAACGGACGATGTCGCAGAAGTGACTCTGTATACCGGCGAAAGCCCCATGTTTTGGTCTTCTTGGCGGCGTGCAGACTCCAATGAGACAACTCCCAAACTCGATTGGAACACCAACGAAGATGACTTCAACGGGATTATTTCTTCAATTCGGGACGCAAAGGCCACTGCGTACCCCACCGTATTCTCACTCCACGCCCATGAGAGCGACTCGGGCGCATACGATTCAATCATCCCTCTCCCTCCTGCATCGACGGTACCCGCATCGTATATCACCAATATCAGTCGGTCTGCAATTGAGGCTGGAGCGGATGTGGTGCTCGTACATGGACCGTATCATCTCAGGGGCATTGAGATATACCAGGGTCGCCCCATTTTCTACAGCCTCGGCTCCTTTACTTACAGTCTTGGGCTTCACTTTCGCGGGGTCTCGTTGCAAATCGAATGGGATGATCGTCTCATTGCCCATACCGAGTTTGTTGATGGGACTGTCAACAAGATCGCACTTTACCCCACGATCCACAACCAACTCACCAACGACACATCGGTGGCTGACCGGACCATGCCAAAACTGGCACCTCCTGCCGAGGCCCAACGCATTTTGAACTATTTGCAAGAAGCCTCCAGACCATTCGGAACTCTGATTAATATCAATGGGAGCACAGGTTATATACTTGTATCTCCGTAGTTACGAAGTGAGGGCGGGAATACGGCAGACAAACACGGATGTAAATATAAGTGAACAGTTCTATTACCAACCCTCATGTTATCTTTGCATTGTTGAGCGGTTTTCAGTTCTGCCGACTTCATAGCGTTGTATCCTTCGGATATGACTGTATTCTAAACTACGTTCGACATTTCCATCGTCTCCGTTGTCCCAGCTTGTCGTGACCAATCATTTCCATCCAATTGTTTGGGTGCCGCCATTGTCGCTGGGCGTCTTGAAAAAAAACCATCTTTCACCTGCGCTGCTGGTATATTGTACGATACCTTGGAAGAACTTTTATGTGGGAAAGTAGCCCAATTTCAACTCTAATGAGCTACGATGACATCTCAGAACACCAATCAGAGTTCGAATTATGCATCTACAGGAATGAGGTCGCTCAGGTATCGACCATCAGCCTCTCTGCCACACAAAAGCACATGCTGCCCACCGCCTTTGGAGAAAAGGACTTCGCGGGCTTCCCAGGCTGTATATGTAAATGAGGCTGCAAATATTGCGCGGCCAGGTTTCGCAGCCATGTACCTGAGTAACGCCTGGTTGCAAGATCTGGCGGAGTGCAACGGCGTGAATGGGCCCTCGTAAAGCACGCCGACAGCCATCGACCTCTGAATGAACTGCTGTAGCGCCTCAAAGCCGATTCTGCCGGCTCCGAGAATGGAAACCTGAAACAAAATGGAGAAGATTCCGATTCTGTACGTATTTCTCTTTTGACACTCAACTGGGTCGAGTTCGTCGGTGATCCGAAGCAACAGATTAAGCCATTGGTTGCTTCTCATTGGAGCACAATCGAATGCGTCCGCCTCGTTGTTCACAGTAATTCCTATCTCTTGTGTAAGTCTCAAAACGTTGCTCTCGGTGCATAGTAACTGGGCGAATGCATAGTCAGCCCACGTCATGGCCATTTGATGAGTCGGAAGGCGGAGAGGCGCATAAGGTCTGGCGTAAAATGCTTCCGAGTCGGGTAAAAGAGCAGAAAATATTCCTTCCGGAGCTTCGCATGTAGCCAGGGTAGACTGAAGGTTTCTGAGCTCTTCGAACAGCTCCTCATCTGGGAGCACAGTATCGGGCTCCGTGTGTTCATCTGAAGGTTCTCCAAATGAGGTGCCTTTCAAAATTTCCCACCACTGCGTCACTTTACTCAACGTCGCCGCGGCTGAATCCCCCCTTTCATAGAAACATTTCGAGAAGAGCAGTCGCTGGCTGATCCTCGACGCCTGACACCCAATGACCTGGATCCTTTGTGGTGGATGTACCATACTCGGTCCCAGTTCCACGAGGAGAGATTCACTGGCTGACTCAATCCCCAGAGGATGTTGAGGCCCTCGACAGGCCAGTTCAAGGTATCTGAGGTGTACCCAAATGCGTCCCAAGTCTTTGCCGGCAGTAAGCGAAAGGACCTGACTGCGATGATTGCGGATGCCATCGTCAAGCACCGCAAGAGCCCGCCTGAGATCGATAATTGTCCCAGTCTCTAGTTCGTACAGTGTAGCTAGAATCAGGATGGTTAAACGAGCCTCCCATGACATATCTGGATGCGTTTCAAGAATTTCTGAACATTTGCTGACATAGTTGAGTGCCCTAGACGAATGAATCGGTGCTGGTACCCATTGACTATGGTCGGATGAGTGATGCCCATGTAGGTTGGCGAGACTGGCGGCCGCCAAAGCCATAGCTGCATATCGGAGGGGGGCGTTGTAGAGCATCATCTTCCATAGTTTGTCGAGGCGGACGGGAAGATTGTTCATCAGGTTCAACCTGAAGTGGGCTAGGTATGGCCTATCTTCAACGGGAACTGGGGCCGGCTTTCGTGTCGATGGCAATTCTGGTTGTTTCTCAAGGCCGGTCCAAGAAGCTGGAAGTAATCCGCGTCGCGAAGTCCGATTTGCTGTGCAGAAGGGTGATTGATTCTCAGGATGGGAGGTTTCTGAAGCCAGAAGAGTTTCATCTGGTGGTGTAGGATTGTCCGGCGATGAGATCGTCGTTGCAGCGCAGGAACCCCCGCCACATTGACTTGTGGGTGACGTTGGAGACGGCAGCAAAGACGGCATCAATAAATCCCACGGAAGGCATTGAGTATCCCCTGGCAATATTGGAGACACAGGTATGAAGTCGGTCATTGACGATGTCAGAAGCTGTTCTGCGTCGAGGAAGAACTCAGGTGACAAATGATCCATCGAGTCGTCTCTACGCCATTCATGAATGTCGTAATTGGCGGCTGAGTTGATGTCTTCCTGTCGGCCACCGGACACCAATGATGCGTTGTGGTCATCGGATTCAAGGACTGGTGGGGTAAGCGGCAGTGGAGCAGTGCTTGGCTGCTGCCGTACCGCATCCGCTGTATCAAGCTGATTGACTGTCAATGTAGCTGGATAAACAGGATTTGACCGCTTGCGGTCTCGTGTTGCCAGCTTTCCAACAGCTTGATCTTTGGTTGAAGCAGAACTTCCAGCCATCTTCAAGCGGCGGACCTTGTTGGCAGCCCACTGTGTTGCGTCTTTGAACTCGAAGGCGCCAAACTCATACTCGCACGAACTTGATGTTGCAGAACAACGCCGGCAAGCCGGTCTCTGTTCATCACACTGCTTTTCAATCAGCTTTGCATCACACCAATCCTGTCATCTCACTACAACGCACCTTTCTTCGCTTACGTCGGCACTGGAGACATCCCGTTTTCGTTCGGGTAATGTCTGTTTTCTTAGGTCTAGCCGGTGCGGGATCGTACATGATGACGGAAGGGTGCCAAGCTGGGCGAGTGATGGTCCAGGAGTGTGACAGATGGCCAGAGTCTTCATAAACATTTACGCGAAGACACTAGATCGCAAATTGCTCAGAGATGTAGCTGTGGGCGAATCCAAGGTTCATGATGAATCACAGACGAACATAGCCATCTCAACAGCGATAAGAGTTCGGCCGCGAACCTGGCACTGCCCAGATAGGAGGATTGTGAATGCGGGGAAACAACTGATTCTACATTGTTTGTTTGTCTCCCCGGAGCTACCCTGCCCCCTGGTTTGGCATCCCCACTTTCAGCGGATATCCTTGCAGTACATGGCGTGCGGAATTGAATCGCAAAATATGGGATACCGGCAAAGACCGAAATCGAAAACCTCGACACTAAGAGGCATAGTTCGAGGCAAACATCCGGGTTGGATCCATGTCCTCCGATATGCGATAGATAAAATGGCAAAAACGCGGAAACGGTCAGCGTTACTTGGGCCGCGAATAACCTTACATGGATGTGACAACGGGTGTTCGAGTTGGCGATCTAACCCAATCGGGTCAACGAGAACGCACGGCGAAGAACACCGTGTAAGCCAACTGATCACCCCAAGCTGTTATCATGCTGCCGTGAAAACCGGTATCCTAAATTCAGTTGGTTTCTCTTAGCGCACACTCGGACTGGTTATCACAAACCTGGGACGCACATAGCTTATCTTATTGCCGTCAAATCGCCCATGCAGATGCGTTGATAGCCACAAGATCCTTTCCAGAACGGCATGACGCAAGTACGCAGCGTTGTTGTTGACTCCAACGGGAAGTCAGGAGCCAAAGTACAGTCGTTGCCGCAATGCAGAACTTATCACGGGGTTTGGTTGGCCTTACCAGCTTATCATGCCGCCTGCGAGATAACGATGTAGGGCACTGGTCGATAACAACACACTTGATGCAACGGCTCTCATTGAGCATGATTGTGAATCATTTGAGTATCATTGTGATTGTGCATAAGACGCCCAAATCTGTAAAAGTAATCTTCTCAAAAGGTATTACGGATTGGTATCAAACCCTGTAGGCAACCTATTACTCTCGACTGTCATATGCGCTATGATGGCAAGCAACTCTCAAAGCCCCAACATGCGTTCCAACTCAGGAGTTGAATTTGAGAGCCAGCCCGACGGCACTGGGTTCAAGGATGATGGAGAACGAAAGCAAGAGACCAATATTGAAAAGTCTGAGAGCGTCATTGAAGGCGTCACAGAGGAGCAGGATCAGTTCAAACCTCTTCCTGGAGTGAAGCCCTGCGATGGAAGAAGAATCTTGACCGTGCGTGCCGTCGCGACAGGTGTATTCTTGGGTTCGGTCATCAACTGCTCAAATCTTTATCTTGGTTCGTGACCAACATGGAATTTCCAGCCTCAGAGAAACCGCACTGATCGTGATCCCCGGGGCTCGCAGGTCTGATGACCGGATTTGGCGCTGATGCCACTTTATTTGCGTCCATTTTCGGCTACGCTATTTGCAAAGCTCTGGAAAAGTCAAAGGTACGATGAGTTTTCACCCATATGGCCGGTCATGTAATTTCCAGCTAACCAAGCTTTACTCATGAACTAGATCCCCTTCTTGAGTGGTGATTTCGGGCCTCATGAGAACAACATCATTCAAGCCGCCGCCCTGGGATGCATCAGCATCGGCTTCATGTTCATGAGCGGTGTCCCTGCCATGTACCAACTACATCTCCTGGGGCCGACCCCTCAGTCGGACTTTGGAAGAATGATTTGCTTCGCCCTTGTTGCAGGATTCTGGGGACTTGGGTTCACCGTGCCGCTGCGCAACTTATTCATCCTCCGCCTCGCACGTCAACTCAGCCTGTACTTCCCGCTTGGAACGGCGTCTGCGATCACGATTCAGACGCTGCATTCGATCGAAGGCAGCACAGGACAGGCACGACAACACGTCAAGGCCATCAGCATCTCGTTTATCTTCTCTCTGATTTGGTCTGTGGCAACATCATACGCTCCCGGCATCCTTTACACCTGGAATCCCTTATGGTGGATTTTCAAATGGGGAGGACGGTCTGTGATTTCTGCCATCAGTTGGGGCTGTTTCTCGTGGTCGTGGTCACCTTCAATGATCGGGATAGGCGCCCTCATTGACTTGAACGCGGCACTATCATATTTACTAGGAACGGTACTCGCCTGGGGAGTGGTGGGCCCGATAATTGTCGACAGAGGCGCCGCTGTTGGCATACCCTATGCACCTGACTATCCCGAGCTTCTCACATACAACGCTTTCATCCTGACTCAGTTCAGCACCACGCCCTCCCCACGTTACTGGATGCTTTGGCCCGCGACATTCATGATGCTTGGCGTCTCTCTCACGACAATTCTCCTCGAAGCAAAGAACTTTGCACGGATGTCCAAGTACGGTATCTCTAACGTCCAAGCCAGGGTCACTCGGCGGAGATACTCAGGTGCAGGTTCAGAGATGGTTTTGAAGAAAGGGGAAATCGCCGGGGAAATTGCAGATCCTGTCGCTCCCGAATATCAAGTGCGATGGTGGGAGTGATCCTCAGTGACACTTGTCTCCGTCATCTTTGCCCTTGTGGCTCTCAAATACGTCTTCGGTATCCCGCCAGCACTGAACTTACTCAATCTTGCTCTCGGCTTCATGTGGTCTTTCGTCGTCATTCAGGTTTATGGCGCCTCGGGCACAACACCCATCACAACTGTTGCGAAGGGCTCTCAATTCATCACAGGTGGCATCCTGCGCCACGAGATTCAGCAACGAGGCTATGAATCAGTAGCTCGGATCAACCTCGCAGAATGTGTCATAAGCTCGGCGGCTGCTCAACAGGCAGGTGAGTTGTGTCAAGACTTCCGCACCGGCTTCTTGCTCGGCACTCCGGCACGTCCCCAGTGGCATGCGCAGATGATTGGCAATTTCGTCGCTGTGTTCCTGTCGCCAGCGATCTTCCTCTTATTTGCAAAGGCATTCCCATGCATTCTCGATGCCGAGGCAACGACCTGCCAGTTCACTCTTCCAGCGGTTACATCCTGGCGCGTCGTCACTCAGGCAATCTTCATGGACACATTTCCCATATCTCAGTCCAGTTGGATCTTTTCTATATTGATGACGCTTCTTGGGATGGGGAGTGTTGCCCTGAAGCGATACCTTGTCGGTCACAAGAACCTCAGCGCTTTTCAAGTTTGGGTTCCGAACATGTCGCTGGTGGGTCTGGCGATGACCATTCCAGGGTCCTCAGTGACTTTGACGGTTACTATCGGAGCTGTGGCTGCACATCTGTGGAAGCGATACTCCCCAAGAACTCATGAGAGATTTCTTTACGCTGTTGCGGCAGGTGGAGTGGCCGGCGAGGGCGTTGGGTATGTTGTGCAGAGCATTCTGCAGATTGCTGGGGTGGCGGGGGTGGGAACAACATTAGGATGCGTGGCTGAGATTTGCTGAAGGATGTTTGACTGATCTGCTCATAGAAAGCCTCAGCTTGGAACTCAGTGATCATGTTTAGTCGTACCGCTGTGCTTGTGGGTTTCTATAGCTATTCAGATGAACTTCCCTTACTTGTTTCCCTGATTTAACTATATTTCACATGCGCTGAAAAGGCCTTTGAAACCTGGGCGCTGCACGAAAGAGTCAAACATATAAAATTAAAGCATTCGTTCTCTGTTTGCAAAGTTGCCCCTGGCTCGAGACTTCCTGCGACAAGAAAAAGTGATCAATGATTGAGACCCCTTCTGTCTCACCTAAATCTGAAGCCATCTCCGCACCACTGCGCCTACAGCCTCTGGCTGATTAAAAGGCGCAAAGTGACGTGCCTCATCTACTGTGTACATAGAAAGCCGATCATTGCCTTTGAATGTTCCACCTCTTGATGTGTCTACATTATTGGCTGAGGATACCAAATTCCCTCGCTGATAATGCCAATCGCTAAAGCTCTCTGCGCGAAATGAGGCCTGTCCTTTCCAAGGCTGCTCATCCAGCATGCGAATCTGACCCGGCGTATTACTGTTCAAGAGAATTATCAGCACCAGCCACGAATGATCCGGCAGGAAGAGTTGAAGGATGTGGCTCACATAATAATGTCATTGTTGCCGTTTATGAAAAGGATCCGGATGTCGGTGTTGTCAAGCAGCCATGTCAGTTCCCTAGTAACGGGAAGGAACACATTCTTTGCTTCAGTCCACCTGCCGTTAGTGTCAAAGTCGATAAGCTCGAACGATGTGTTCGGGAACCCTAACATCTCCTGTACCCAGGGCTAATTGAAGAACTCAAAGGTTGCGCCTTTGTCGAAATCTGAGCATAGCGGGGGCTTTTGGCATTTCAGACGACCTGGGGACAAAAGTCAGTTACCTTTCCCATCGCCTGCATCTGAAATAGATGTAAAATGATGCAGTCAATATTGAGCACAGGGGTATCCTTCCTAAGCGTTGAATGAAACCTAACTTACTGTCGTACGGGTTCCAACCTCCAGGTCTGACATCCGCAGCATAGGGCGCCCCCACAGTCTCGTCACAAGACATAGCGGCCGCGAGGCAAACCTCCTTATCATATGTCTCACGGCAGATTTGTCCGAGAATTTCGCAGTGAGGCACTGCAGCTTCCATCAAGTCACACGCCGTGCTGTTCATGAGCGGCGCCTTGCGGCCGTCTCGGCGCCAGTCTGAACAGAAAAAGTCATAGTAACCTACAGTCTGTTGGGTATTATCCACATAGCCATCTGTTATGATAGCAGATTCGATATTCAGCGGCTTGTATGTCGCACGACTTTTTCCAGAGTCGCCAATCTCTCTTTCCGAGCGCATGATGTGATGCGTGTAGCCGGTGACATAGTGACCTCCCATAGATTCGCCAGCAATGTGCAGCGGTCGCTCACTGTGTTCAGGGAATACGTCGTTGGTGAAGGTTCTGAGAAACCTGTGAATATCGCGGCCACCCTCCTCGAGGCTCACTGGAATATGACTGCGGTTGGTAATGTGTGAGAAGCCAACCCGAGCCGGTTGGCTAGAGGAGAAAACCCTTGTCAGTAGGCACCCAGGCGCAGGGAAATGGTGACTTACTCGACGACAACAACATTTGCATAATCAATCCATGAGTATTCCAGAGTATTTGTAGAATTTCCATCCTCGTTGACACACGGGCCGATACCTTTGAAAAGCCCTAGTTCTCCCGTTGCTCCTGGGCCGCTAAAGGGGTGTGAGCCTTCGCTTCGGGGAAGTTGTCGATGACGTACCCGCTCATCCAAAGTACCAAGGGGGCATTTTCAGGATCATGCCGACTCTCAAAGTACCCTACGCAATATCATTAATTTGGATCAAAAGCGAAACCAGTCTCTTGTCGTGTTGAAACGTTTCTACTCACAGAAGAAAATGGATTTATGATCGGTGATATTGACAACACCGGTCCAGTATTGTGACCCTGCATCACAAAGTTCTTTGGGTTGTTTTCGTAAGGTGAACGGTGCGGGCTGTTCTTCCGCTAGCACCGGCGGCCGGGCCCCACCAAGTGTTTTCTGTTCGCCGGGGCCGGAGCCGGGGCCGGGGCCGGGATGCAAGCCGAGTGCGCTAGCACCGGCGGCTGCGACGAGAGCGCAGCATAGGGCCAGCAAAGGCATTGTAGTAATGCTACAAGCGATAACCAGGTATGGCAACACAGCAGAAGAGGGAGAAATTCTTATTGAATAATGATAGGACGTCTGTGGTATTGAAGAAACTGCCCTGCAAGGGGCAATCGCATTGATGGGAGCTTTCTTCATGTACTGTGGCTGCCAACGCTGTTTTGGTGGCCGTTGCATTGGGATTCGTCCATAGTTCCCCAATTTTCTGGGTGGTTATTGACCTTCCCTTTTCGACCTAGGGCGGTTGACATTGCCCAATGTGGTCTGCGAGAGCGCCGATACGTACATCCCGCGCAATGTCCCCGGGGTTTGATGATACAACAGCTTAAGGCTAAAGAGAAGCCCTCAGAACATACTGGCTCACTCCATCAAATCCAATCTGAGAACAAAGACGGAGAAATGAGTGTCTTGGGAGCAACTCCGATCGGCCGAGGCTTACTCCGTTCGGTGGGACTGATCATTCTGATACTGTCGTGTACCACGGCCAGCACCGTCATCCCACCCAAGTCCACTCTGCTCCCAACGAAATCTAACTTTGCTGCAACTCAAGGCACGCCATCATTTTCAATTCGTCTCAGCAACGAGACTTCTCAAGTCTGCAACAGTTCCACCCCGGGCGTCTCGGGATTCATCGACTCCAACATTGGCGATGATGAAAGTCACATGTTCTTCTGGCTTTTCGATTCCAAGAATGATCCGTCGTCGGATCCGCTTATTCTCTGGATGACAGGGTATGCCACTGCTTCACCATGCTGCTTTCATCGAATCGCTTTGCTGATATTTCGTCAAATGACAGAGGCCCTGGTGCTTCCTCTACAGGCTATGGAAACCTCATGGAGTTGGGCCCCTGCCGAATAGCTCCTGAGGGAGGTTATACGATCGAAAATGAGTTTGGATGGAACAAGAATGCCACCGTTCTCTTCGTGGAGTACGTATACAGCATCAATATTGCAAATTATCAAGGGGCTGGGCAAATTTGGTACTGATTATTCAACTTCCTAGCCAGCCGATCAGCGTCGGGTTCTCAAGCGGCTCAAGGGTACCACCAGGCTTGACAGAGGCATCGCGAGCTATGCACACTTTCCTGAATCAGTTTCTCACTGCATTCCCTCTTCTGAAAGAGGTCGACTTTTATATCGCAGGAGAGTCGTACGGAGGCTCTTGGGTGCCGGCACTGGCATCGGAGATTTTGCGCAACCAAGAGAACACTGATGCAGGCAGGGACGAAGATCCTGCACAACGTCCCTTGTCTCGCGGGTTGCCTGGAAGTAACCAGCAAATCAATCTTAAGGGTGTAATGATCGGCAATGGTCTAGTTCGTCAGCCCGTGCAGAACCCTGGAACCTTCGAGGCATTGTGCTCCGGCCCCGACGGACTTTTCAACACACCACAATGTCTCGAATGGGCTCCGAGAGCTCTATGGTGCGAGAAGAATCTCGGAGTGTGTGAGACGAAAGGCTGGACCTTGTCCGAATGCAAAAGCGCACAGAAGCTGTGCTCTGAAATGGCCGAGGTTGCCATCGACGAGATGCATCGTAACCCGTACGACTGGCGCCGCACATGCGGTGACGATCCTTTGGGTTGTTACCCGGAAATGGCTCATATAGACAAGTACCTAAACAGCAGCATCGTCAAGAAAGCTCTCGGGGTACCGGAAGAGGCACCATTCTTTGGTGTCTCTTTCGATGTCTTCAACCTCTGGGAGGAAATCGGAGATTTATGGAAGTCGAGTGCGGTATACGTCAACTATCTTCTCAACTCGGTAGGTCACCCTCCAGTCAGTAAAGCTCCAATCATTGTCACTTATGTTATCGATACATGTAATTTTCTGCCGCTGTGTGGTTGCTGACGCTGAACCTCGTCGTTCCTCAGGGCATTCGAGTCCTCATTTACGTTGGCGACAAAGACCTGTACTGCAACGCAGCAGGTATGAGAAGGCTTGTTAACGAAGGCTTGGAATGGAACGGCCATCCGTTTTTTCGGTTTCGGGAATATCTGCCATGGTATCACGGCTCGAAACGTGTTGGTCGATGGAAGTCGTACGACAGTCTTACCTACGCTGAGATCTTTGAGTCTGGTCACCTTGCGCCGTTCGATTTACCAGCGGAAGTTCTGTCGCTTGTATCTGGCTGGCTGGTCGATGGACAGCCACCGGTGAGATAATGAATAGTCTGGTTCGCTTATAATGCCAAGGAGATCTTGACTGGCCGTGGTCCCGTATCTCCGATATGGATTCTCCAAGATCTCCGAGCCAACACTATGTTGCTGACCTTATCCGCCTTACAAAGATTTACCTGTTCCAAACGACGACATTTTCAAGTGTTCAGGCTATGATCAAATAGATGTCAATGTGTGATAGTCTTCACAATTTGGTGTGCATTTGTGCCACAAGTAGTAGACCAATGCATGGTTTCGCGTATGCTGCGGTAAAATCTGCCGAGCTTTTCGTTTCCCGATTTTGTGTCATGTCCGAATCCAATTCCAATTCGGGCAACTCGTAATTCTCGTTGCCTGCGACTCCTCCCCCAATTGGTCTTTTGTTCTGTCGAATTCATTGAGACCCCCACAAAATTCGGACCTGTCATGGTCTTCCCCAGAGGAATTGTGCAGAAGAAGATTCCGCTCGGTTAGCAGTTTGTTGGATTTCTTCCTTGACTGGAATGGATTTCGCGATTGGACCGAGACATGCCAAGACCCAAGACGGTAGGGGTAGGGCTCCACCAAGTGTTGACCTGGCCACAAGCGGCGGGATGCAGGTGGGAGTGCGCTTAAATACCTTATCAGCAGCGAAAATGAAAGAAAAAACAACCTGCCCACGATCAGATTTCCGTGTCTGTTGCATTTCCATCGCGATTTGCCCGAGATTTTCGCTATGTTTTCGTTCTTCAGAAGCCCGCAGGTCCCTAGCATTGTCCCGACGGACACTATTGTCCCGCTGAGCGCCGGCGATGACAATTTCGTAAATAAAAGCATCGTCATGTTGTTCATGATGCGCTTTGACGACGTTCTTGATCCCGACAAGTTGAGAGTTTCTCTGGAGAAACTCCTTGAACGCGATGGTTGGCGCAAGCTGGGAGCACGGTTAAGACTCAATGTACGATGCATGCGATTTGAGACTCTTGTCAACTGAATCTTACGCGGTCGCTGAACAATTCTCAGGCGAACAAAAAGCTAGAGTACCATATACCTGCTGAGTATGGTCCAAAGAGGCCAGGCATCGCGTACTCTCACGTCACGTATCACGTGGATATCGAAGAGCACCCTCTAGCTTCAAGGTTACCAAAAGCCAGCTTAAAGCCAGCTGTTGTCGGGGATTCCACCGATTTCCTACACTTCACGCATGCTTCCAATGGACCGAAGAGCCTGGATGACTACATCTACTACGACAGGCCGCAACTTGCTCTGCACATTGTAACATTCAACAACGCCACGCTGGTGTCCCTTAATTGGCTGCATACTTTGTTCGACGCCCTGGGACGCCAAGAGCTGATCACCGCATGGACAGCAATGCTCGATGGGCGCGAGGACGACATCAAGCCGTTTCATGGCTTTGGCGACGACCCTCTGGCAGATCTTGGAACGAAGCCGAAAGAGGAGTACGTGTTGGCCGACAAGCTTTTGTCCAAATGGCAAATGGCATGGTTCGTTTTTCGCCAGATCTGGGAAACCATATACTACCGGGAAGAGGAGACAAAGCTAGTCTGCATGCCTGCCACGTACTTGAAAAAGCTGAAGTTATTGGTAAATCAGGAGGTTAAGGCTCAAAATGCCGGCAGTGGCACAGCTTTTGCTAGTGAAGGCGATGTTGTGTCCGCTTTCATAACTCGCCTGTTTATCCAGCACCTACCTAGCACGTCAAACCAGACCATCGTCATCATGAACGCTTTTGGACTGCGTTCTGCCCTAGCCGACGACTACCTCCCACCCGACAGGGCCTACGTTGGAAATGCGGTTACCGCAGTGTTGGCAATCTCATCGGCGAAGGATATCCTCGCCAATCCGCTTAGCTACACGGCCTGGGCCGTACGCAAGGCCATCATTGACCAAGGTAGCAGAGAGCAACTCGAAGCCCGAATTGCCGCCCAAAAGGCCATGGGCTTCCCCCTATATGGTGACGGTGGCATGCAGATGATCACGGTCTCGAACTGGTCAAAGGCGAAGTTCTTCGAAGCAGATTTCTCCGCGGCAGTGATCAAAAAGGGTGCTGACTCGAACACGCGTCCCGATCGATTGGGGAAGCCAGCCTTTGTCATGGGCGATACAATCTCCAAGGGAATCAGCCTCCGAAATGCCTCCAACGTGGTAGGTAGAGATGCCGATGGCAATGTTTGGCTAGGAGGTGTTTTGCGCAAGGGACTATGGCCAAAGATTGCTGAGGCTCTGGAAACCGATTCTTATTGATTCACTTGGAAGCCATGACTGCATAAAACACAATACCGTGCTGATGCACGAAACCTCGAACTGTCTAGAAATTAAGAGTCTTTCATCCCAATTCTCTCGTATACCTATCCTGCAGTTCAAACTGCAGGACCAGAGCTGCCTTTATCCCACACGATGCTTCTTCAGAGTCCTCGAATATATGTGAAAGCTTCCTGTATCGCTTAATCAAGACATAGGGGAAACTTCGCCTTCCGCCGACACTGAGTACTTCTGACCGTCTCTGTTCATCAACTCGATGACCGCGCCGATGATAGCATATAAGTCCGGGGTTTCGCGATTGTTATTTTTGACGTTGTTCATCCATCCATACGCATTTGGAGCATCAAGCATGTTCCCGAAATATGACAGGTGAAAAACTGAATTGAGTTGTCAGAATCATAGCCCAGACCAGAGAGACAACAGGCTTTGGACATACCTCATGCAACATGTTTGCCGTAAGTGATTTGGAAAGCAATCCGTCCATTGGGCGAGTGTCCACAGGAGGCCTTTTCGCTGCACCCTTGCTGTTAAAATCTTTAAGCGCATCGGGCTTTGTCACCTCAGTGAAATCATCCTCAATCCAACCCCCAAAGTTCCTGGACCGCTGAAATTTGATCCATAGCGGGTGGAAATTGATGGATTCAGCTATTCTCTTGCGGCCACCCGTTGGAGGGGCGTCTCTCTGTGTGATCGCCATTGTGCGTGGAGTCGGGACCTTTTCCCAGTCTCCCCCAATTTCCTCGGAGTTTTCCTGCTCAATGAACTTTTCGAGCGTGTGAGGCTGGAACATATGATATTTCCGCACCACATCGTACGGCTTGTCGAAGGGACCACCTGCGGGATCTGGCACTGTGACAATTTCTGGTCGGCAGGTGATAATCTGGGAACTTCAGCAAGCTTATGGATGGAATGGGGCACGGAGGTGGCCGTCAACGACGAGTCTTGGTTCTCAGGACATGCCGTTTAGGGCTGCCCTGTCACTTGTGCGGGTGACATAGCATCGACTGAGGCAAGACTTACAAAGTCATTGAAATGTTTGTCGCTATTCCCAAGATCAATTCAGGCCCTGGACTGTCCGAAGCGGCCCAGTTTGTCAGCGTCGCTGCCGACAGGGCCTTCCATTTCTGCAATCTTATTGAATCTGTCTGTTGGATAAGAAGATCATCGTGTGAGCCGGCACTGTCTCAACGATTGACGTTTATCCAGCCACTTACCTCTTATCTCCTTAGCAGCAGTGTTGTAGTTTTCCAGCCCGCCAACAAGAGGTGCGATGGCGAGCTTGGTAGGAAGACCAGTTATTTGACCGATGCCCGGGATAATTGACAATGTAATCTTGGAAGCAGCTCTCTTCGCCCAGACCTTGGCGTCATTGACACTCTTTATCATAGCATCGGCTAGTTCTTTATCGAATAATTCATCTTCGGGTATTTTTTTTGCCGTTTTCGTCGGTATCCTTCACCGTCATGTCTATTGAATAGTCAGCTTATTACTTGAAGTCCATAATTCTGGAAGACAATGATCAGTGAATACTGAGTTATGGAATCAAAGCTATGTGAGAATGAGGACACAACGACTTACAGCAAGACTTGTGAAGAGTCCAACTGACTTTCGTGGCAGCTTCAACGACAGACACCGCATGCAGGGCAAGAACCGTGACATGAAGTAGGCGCATTGCAAAGACGATAAGAATTGTCGAGAGAGCTCAAAAGGTTATACAGATAATACTTTTTCTCCTGGATAGTTGACAGCTGAAGGTATGATGTGGTTCTGTATGGTTCCAGTGGTGATGCCGTGGTTTGAGATGAAGGAAACTGACGTTTCTTATAAACGAAAAGACCGTGAAAATTACAGACGCATGGTATACAGTACACATGATTATTTCTGATCAGCTGAAAGACTCTTGCCATCAGATGCGTCGAGCAGGTTGTGGCTATCAATAGAATTGCCCACTTGTCTTGGCCTTGGGCTGTACGAGCGTCAATTCCTTTGCCCCAAGGGAACGAAAAAGATTGAGTACATTCTTATCCGGTGCGGCGCAAATTTTGCGTCTCATGGTCCCATTTACAAAAGTTCATCTCTTGATAGCAGAATTCAGTGATTTCGTTCGACGCGAAATGAGGCACAGTAAACCCTGAAGCATTAATCACACAGCCTCTTGGGATGAATGCCTCGGAGGATGCAGTTTGGGGTCAGCAAATCTGCGTTTCCGCCTTGCCACCGACGAGTTCGGGGGCTGCTCAAAGTCACCGGGTCCCGTTTAACGTCACATCGGAGGCCGAATTACTAACAGCAAAATGCATTTCGGAGCCGGGCTGAACATGCGGCACGGAATCGGAAACCTGTACGGCGACCTCGCTCAGCCATACTAAGCGCTCCGAGGCTTACGCCAAGGCGGCACCGAAGTCTCATCATGCGACTCAGGATTCTCTGGGTGGGCTGGATTTAGCATTGTCACCAGCTTTACGGCCGATTTGGAGTCGTGCTGGATGGCGCATTCAATTTAAACATGCTGATCAGGAACCGAGAGGCTGCTATCCGTGCCGCGAACTACTTGTAGACGCAAGGTACGGCCACCCCCATTTGGCAGAATATTTTGAATAACACCAGTTCTGACTTCAGTTAAGGACACAGCCTTGATTATACTGCAGGAGGAAAGCCAGTTCAATGCGGCGGGAGAAAGTAGTATTGAACGCTAGGCTTTCTTGGATTTGAGTGAACAGCCAGGCGTCCCTGAAATAGCATCAAAAATGAGGAGATATCATCTGACCTTTATGAGGGTTCTTTTGTGCTGCAAGTGGCACTACTCTCCGCATATTTAGGACGTCTGTTCTCTCCTAATATGGAGTTCATACAATCTTCTGTGTCACTCAGATCACAAAAGTCAAACTTGAAATTTCTCTCTCTTACTCAGGCATATCTTTATCTTCTCATTTCAATCCAGAAACCATATTATCCTATAAGTCGACTTCCACTTCTTTACGATGAAGGGCATTGTCAACTTGCTTGCCAGCTACGGCTTGTGGATACAAGCCACGACTGCCGTCCAGCTTGCTCACCAACCTGCTGTCACAGTCACTAATGATGCGAAACTAGCCGCTCGACAAACAGCGAGCCCTAGCACCAATCTGTGAGATCTTTTTTGACATTTGACAGAAGCATTGTTATCAACTGACTCTTCTTTCAGAGTGAACATCGCCGCAATCGTGCCGACTGAATCTGGACAGATTGGGATAAATCCGCCTGGTCCTGAGCCTACGTATGCCTCCAAACTTCCGTCCTCTTAAAATACTCCCAAAGTCCCTTTATCAGTTGTTGACGCATAGATGATTTGAAAGCATACTCTACCTTTGTTGCTCGACAGGTGATTCTCTTCTGTGTCCATGAAAGCCCGTTAACATTGAGGCTCACACGAGCTATCTCACAGAAGAAGGAGGTACAACGAAGGCAAGTCACCATCCTGTACTAGATGAAAAACATTCAGCCCACTGACGTACAATTCTCTCAGTGGATTGGAGTTGATCCCAACTACATCGCTGTTACAGTGGTTACTACGACTAAGAAAGGTGGGGAGACAGCAGTGGCCACCATCACCAAGGGCGTTTCCGCTGCGAAGAATGGGGCTGGCGGTTTAAGTATTCTTCTGAGTCCAGCTGTGAAGAGTAAGCTCGAGGCAATTGCCAAGCAAGTCACTCCCTGCGCCGGAAAGCGTCGAAGACAAAACCGCAAGCGTCAAGGCGGACCCTCTTGCGGCCTCGCGGACTTTGTCCAGCGCGTCGGCGCGGACGCCGAGCTACAAGGCAGCTTTGCAGAACCCCTCACAGATCAAGTCTGGGACCAGATTGACGAAGGGTATGAAAGCGACGACCCGATGCAGGACGGTGGCTGGGAAGGCGATGGTGAGGACCATCCTGCTGGAGAAGATGAGGGCTACTTCTCTGGTGACGACGAGGGCTTCTTCGAGGGCGCTGAAGAAGGTGAAGTAGAGACCCTCGTTTTCTCTTCGGAAGAGGAGGCCGTTGCGATTGGAGAGGCGCTGTCCGGCGCCGACGCAGCAGCAAACGCTGCTATCTGGGGAGGATCAACTGTCACGGCTGGCTCTTTCTTGGCCTGGATTTGGGCCCAGGCATCGGCCGGTAAGGGAATCTCAAATGCCCAAGAGATACCCGCAGAAAGTATCCACAAAGTTACGAAGACAAAGACCTCCAGCACAACAACGACGACTTCATCCGCCAGCTGCCCCACTGACGCCCCTGTAAGTACTTTGTTTTCTTTTGTTCATGACAGAAAACATGAATCGATGACTGACTAATGCTTGCAGCCTTCATGTGATGGTTGCCAACCTGCTAGTGTGGAAGTCAAGGAGGCCAAAGCCACAGGCGTGGTAAACTGGCTGTGCTCTGAAGTAAGCGAAGGCGCGATCCATTTACCATCAGCCCCCATGAAAACCTGCTAATACTCGAGAAAAGGGTGACTCTAAGGGCTGCACTTGCGACCCGAAAGTCGAGGATGTGATTCCTATATATGAGGTCAACTATCATCAGGCCATCTTGGGGGCTTTCGACGACCTTTCAAAGAGCCCCGAGCAGCCGACCGAGAAGCCGAGGATTGAGTGCCCCGGAGGCCTCTCGGATGTCCCGAGCGAGTTCTTTGTGAGCAAAACATCCAGTAGCTTCTGTGAAGAGGTCATGAAGGACCTCACCAAGGAGGTGACCGATGCCGGGACGGCCTACGACATCAATGGCAACAGAATCGCGATCCTCAAGCTAGCGAAGGTGGAGGGAGAAGCTGGACAATCAAAACGTTCTCTCTTCGCAAGATCACCTCCTGAAAACTCCGACAATTATCTGGACTACAAGTTCTACATGTCATACAAGCCCGGGAATCGCGGCTGTGTTGTCCCCAAAGAGGACCTTTGCCGCAACGCATACACGGAGCTTGTCAAGAGTAACTGTAAGTGTCCAAGAAGATCCCGCGACACCTATCTGGGCTGACAGATAATGCGTGGGCGGTACGAATCACGGCTCGGCGGGCGACCGCATGTTCTATGATGCTTCTGTAGATGTTGGCTGCGGCAAGTTCACATGGAAGGTTGAGAAGCCGGAAAAAGCTCCGCCTGCGCCGACCCTGGGCGAGAGAATCTGCCACGACAAGCACAGCCAGTACGACGTGTACGACGGCCAGCAAGATGGATGGTCTTCAAATGGATGCAGATTGTCTGCAGCTGGTAAGACAATGAAGGCAGGAGACAAGGAGGTCTACTGGCACCCTGTTGGTCCTGAGGCCGATTACGACCAGAACTTCAAGATCTCATGGATCGATGGATGCGAGACTAGTGTGGCTGAACAGAACCTGGACTCTCCGATCGAAGGTGATGCTGGTGTTACATGCGCGAGCCTCATGAGGGCTAATTACAAGAGCTATAAGTCTTAGTACAATCGTCGGGTTTTCTTCGCAACTCGTGCTAACCGTTGTCAACTTTTAGGCAACAACGGAGGAGCCGGTGGCTACAGGGACGCGGGTTGTCTGAGATACGACTTTTATGTTACAGTACAGTGATTGTGGATTGGTTCTACACAACATTCAGATCATCGGCCTTTTCACTTACCCCATGGATTTGCCATAGAGGTTGGCCCTCGCAAATGTCTCCGTCAGATCATATTCAATATGCCAGAGCCTAATCAAAACTGAGAAGATGGGGAATAAGGATGTATCTTGTTGGCGAGCCGCCATCTCCATACAAGGCAATTGTCTCCCCTAGCTATTCAATTTAGAAATCTTGAAAGGGTTTGAAATGATGAAGTGGTCTCCAAAGTGAAACTGGGGTGAACGGGATGAGCAGCAGGAGAGGTAGGGGTGGAGCAGCCAAGCAAATCAGTTTAGGCTCCAGTGCTTTGCTGAATACAAGATGCAAAGAACCAAAAATAGTCTTCCATTGGCGGTGGGCAAAATAAAAAGTCACCAGTACCCTGAACATTCTCACCATCCTTTCTCCCTAGCTCTATTCATACATCTACATCATCAACCCAGCATCTAGTTCTACCCAAACAATTATTATCACGTCAACCCATTCATTCAATCAACCTAGACGGCCGTCGGTCTCGCAAGCTTTAGTCAGCTTACACAGTGCCCTTTACGCTCACATAAGCGAGCGGCATCCTGATTTTCTCAATCATCTTTTTCTCGCATTACCTCACCCAGGCACTGAGCCATTGTGTTTGCACAAAAGCATCATGGGGAAAAGAGTTTACCCCCGCACCATCGTGGAAGAGGCCCCGAGCCATGATGGCAAGCCCTGCTACGCGGCGTGGGAAATGTTAGAAACGGACCCAGACACCCAGACGTCGCCAAACGCTTCCAATCGACCCAAGTGGTCCATCCATGTCTACGAGACCACGCCCGCGGCTGGCGACCGCGAGTACATCAAAGGAATAGCAAAGAAAATTGAGGAAAAGACGCGCCGGGACCGTGACAGGCGCGGAGCGCCGAATCGCATCGATGTCCACGGCTTCCCGCTCCCCGCCGACTTGCCTGAAGCAGATCGCGTGGCGCGATGCGCTGCGCACCATCGCGCCGAGGTCGCTATGCGAAACGCCTCCGGCACGGCCGACTTCTTCATTCCTCCGAACTTCAGCGAGTTGTGGGAACACCATATCATCATCATTGACAACCCTGGCGCAGGAGAGCCTGGGGGTGGCGCTTTTCTTACCGTGTCTTTCGGTATGAGGCCCGAGGTCGCGGCCGAGGGGCTTGGGGGTCCCGATTATGATATTGCGCGATACACGGGCAAGTGTTTGGGTGATAGGCTGTGGAGTTACATGAGCTTCGTCGAGTATTTCTACGATTCATACGTTGAGAACGGGAGGATCTACAGCGACTTGGAGAAGTGGCGACGAGAGGCCGAGGCTGGAGGGACCATCCAGCAAGTCGAGCAACATGAGGGGGCGTAGCTGATGGACAAGAACATTGACGGGAATAAAAAATCATGTATTACGGAAACAAATACCAGATCGTATTCAAAATTCATATGCTGGCTGAAGGAGCACAACGCCGCCCATAGCAAAAAGGACAAAAAAACAAAAACAAAAAGCAACGCCTGCGCCTCGAAATATATTTCCATTAAACCACGAGCACCTGTATCACAGGAGCGCCGGGGCGCCAATGTTCGCCACCGTGTTGCCGTCCCTGTCCAAGGTCATGGCGGCGTTCCCGTAGGCCCCGTACGGAGATGCAGCCCCAGCAGGCTGCCGGGGAAACGCCATCTTCGCTCGTGTCGCGAAGCCGTTGGTTCCGAAGGCCTTATCCACCCACTGCTTTGCAGCGTTGGTATTGTCGCTGCCATACTTGAGTTTAAACTCTGTCTGAGCTTCGACAGCCCAGATCTGTGCTCTCCCTTCGATGCCGCCGAGATACGTGTCGATCCAGTAGGCGTAGAAGGACCGCAGCGATGGATTGCCACCGCCAGTGCGGGTTGGCTCATCAGGTTGTGATCCCCAGGTGTAGGTCTGGTCGAACTCGTTGAGGACCAAGTCTATCCAGTTGGAAACGCGCATCCACTTGTTCCAGACGTTCTCCTTGGTGCTGGGCTGGGTGTGAGCGTATCTGAGGTAGTGGAAAACGCCGGCATGCTGGAAGACACATGTGAAGTCAATAGTTATTCATATCTGGTTAAGGCAGGATCACTTACACTTCTGATCCAGTTTCTGTTCAGGTTAGCCGCGCTTGGGTGGCTACTTGTCAGACCAGTCGGCTGGCCTTCCCCGAAAAAGGTCCCCTTGTGTTCGTTGACTTCTGCCTCTACGAGAGCAAAGTTCTTCGTCGTCTGGCCAAGCGGCATGCCCCCATTGCGCTCAGATAGGGGATCGGATCGTGCAATGGCGTAGGCAAGGACATCATCAAGCGGCGCCCCTCCCGCGGGGATGCCGAGGGGTGTATTACGTGATTGCAGCTTGTGGTTTCGAGGGTTGTTCTCATCCAAGAAAACTTCTGCGACCCAGAAAGACTGTGGCTTCATGGACATACCGATAGGAGTCAAATCTCCGTCTCCGAGCCACTCGAAGAACCTGGCTAGCGTCTGTTTCTCGTACACGTGGTCGTCTAAGCTTAAATGTTAGCTACAACACCAACACGAAATCGAAGAACTACAAGAGGGGGCAAAACATACTCTGGAATTTCTTCGTATCACCGACGTCTTTTTTAGTATCAAACTTCAGATCTCCGCCGCATTTAGCATCGCCCTCGAGGTAATAGTACTTGTCGATGTTGCTGTCCGTAATTGCGTCCGCACACGGCTTATGTTTGCCACAATCAATAAAGAAGGTCATGCCAGCAACATTAACCTTCGGATCGTCCTTGGTCAAGGCCCGCTCCGATAGAAGGCCGTCACGGGCCTGGAGGCCGGAGGCGGTGCAGCCACTCTCGCTCTTGGGGCTGTCCAGGACGCAAGAGTCGCCAGCCGCCCGCGACACAAACATGGATCCCCATCGGGCGTCCCGCGCTGCGTTCTTCGCCTTCGACGAGCGGCACGAATCGCAGGTAACCGCCGTCTCGCTGGGGCTCGCACTGCTGGTGCTGGTCGTTGTAGTTTGCGGCTTGTCGCTGGTCGTAAGGCCTCCATCTGGCCCAGCGGTTGTTGTCGTGCCGGCATCCTTCGTCGTCGTAGTTGGAGGCTCTTCCATCTTCGTAGTCTTCGGCGCATCATCCTTCTTGGTTGTCTTCGGGTCCGGCTTTGAATCGAGCGTCTTACAGTCGCCCTTCTTCTTCCGCTTGCAACCCGTGCTGGTTCCGACTGAATCGGGCGCGTTGACCAGCGAGTTGAAGGTGCTGTCGTAGTCGAGCTCAATCTTGTCGATGCCGCAGCTCTTCTTGACCCAGCCATCGAAGAAGTCGGTTGGGTTCAGCGAGTTCTCCGCGAATGATTTGGCGCCCTCGACGGCTGCCTTCGTCGCTGCCCGTGCTGAGGCAGCGGCCTGGCCGGCGCCTGGGACGAGGGCGAAACCGATGTTGATGCTCTCGACGACGGCCTGAACGAAGACACCGCAGATGATCTCGTCGAGCTTGGCCAGGCCCTCGATGACTGGAGTGATGAACGCCTCGGCGACTGGGTCAATCTCTTCGGCACAGAAACAGTCGCCCGGGAGCCATTCGTAACCGTCAGGGTCTCGGGGATACGGCCCTTCTCCGTTGGGGATATGGTCAGAGTGGCACTACATTTCATGAATATGATTAGCGAAATTCGCAAGGCCAGATCATTCCTTAAACCCTTGAGGGAAACCACTCACCCCGACCCTGTCTTCTGGCTGGCCCTTTTCCTTGCAAAAGGTCCTACAAGGGGTCAGGCCGTCGTTTTGACGGTCTTGTCAATGTAGATGACGCATGTGCCATCCTTGGCCATGGCGTTATAAAATTGATCCAATTTCTCATCTCTGCGAGATACTTCGGATACCCGAAGAGCGCTGGTGGTGGCAAAGAGCAGACTGCCGAGTAATGGCAAATACGCGAACGCCCTCATCTTTTCGCAATGACGCAGTACAGAAGCCCGGACAAAAGGAGAAGTGAGAAACGATGAATGGTATCAAGTACAATAGCTTCTGGTTTTGGTGAGAGTGTCCAACGACAGCTATCGAGAGTTGCCTTTATATATCCATATGTTAATAGATCATGCTAGGTCATGATAGACCGCAATGAAGTTGAGCCACCTCGAACTATTCCCATATTCTGATTTTGTTCACGAGCGGGTCTTCATCCTTGCTCGTCAATTACCGCCCGAAGCCCAGAGGAACGCATCAAGTTGATGTTACCTTGGCCTCGTGGGGATGTAAGATCTCGGCCGAATGTGTTACCTCTGGAAGCGCAGACGCAGTTGAATAACCCACTGATCAAGAATGTGTCTCTTTTTGTTATTGCCCAAGAACTGCGCCCTTGCTAGCAGCATCCTGAATGCTTTGCGCGCCGCAATCCAAAATAGGATCGCACTCATCCAGGGGTTCGCATATTTCTGAAGGCGGCACGGATAAGGCCTGGCCAATTGCATTGTAGGCTTGTCCGAGGCAGACTCAGACGCAGCTGGTCCCCATGTCTAATTGAGTGTCAGCTTACTGATCTTAATTGCCAAGAACTCCAGCCGTCACAACAGCCAATCAGCCCTGTTCAGTGGCAGCCTGGAAAACGGTCAGCATGTCGCCTGCTCTTTCGAAATGGTTTTGGGTGCGTGAGAAGCCAAGCGCGTAATTGAATCGGACTCTGAGGGAGATATCCCACTTTCCTCTGCACCATTTCAAATGGATGTCTATCAAGCGCCGGCCTAACAGGCCCCAAGGTCACAATTTCTTCGAGGCCCCCAAGGGTACGTTTTCAAAGTCTATTTAGAAATGCGGCATGAAATACCATAGTCCATAGTTGCTCCCGCTACATGTAAGCGATAGTCCCGAGGCCGGTAAAACAGTCTTGCTCAACTGCGCTTATTCCGCATCTATGGATCATTCGTTTGATGAATGCAACTATCCTAGCTCTATTTGCTTGGCCGAATTAAGAGTCTTCTTGGTCTTTATCCAAAGAAACCTGGTTCGGTTCGGCGCTTCTCTGCGCAACGAATCAATCAAGCTGCAGTTTGCCCTCAGGAAGCTACAGTGCAGCCACGATCAAACATCCTTCATGACTTCATAAGTGCCATCCCTTCGTGCAAGTTGAACTTCCCTGAAACATTCCTCGTCAGCACGTACGTGGGATTGGGAAGAGAAAGGGCAACACTCACTCTGTGGGGTGGGTATAAATGAGCCCATCATATACGCAATCCAGCTCTATCAATGTCAGAAATGGATGAAACTTGTCTCCCGAGCCCCGTTTGTAAAGTCGCACACCGGGCGCTGCACCAATATCCACATAGCCCTCTTGAGGGCCGATCCTTTGGCTCAGCGGTGTACTCAGCGTGACGGATTCGATAGTCTTGAATGAGGATAAGATGTTTTTCAACCCCTGGGCGTCGAACTCCTTGATGCAGCAGAAGCTACTGTTAGCTTCAATGCCGCAAGTGAGGGATCGCGCTGCAATCCATATGCAAACGTTTTTTAAATTCTTGAACTTGTCGAACCGTAGCCAGTCGAAGTCGTAAACGTCGTGGCGACGAGGGATACCAGGGAGGTCGTAATTAGCACACATCAGCAGCGCCGGGAAGTCCGGACTTAGAGACTGCTCCAAGCTTCGGGCATGTTTGAAAAACGCCGGGGGCGTTACCCCCGGCTTAGCCGTCTTCATCGCTGGGTGTATGGCGCATGCGCCAAAGAACATTTGGACTGTCGCCAGATCGGTGAATATGAACGTTGTCGACTCGTATATGGATTGAAGGCACTCATTAGAGCTAAAGTTGTAAGTATTCAGTTATGGCCGAGTCATATGATAACGGGTCGCCACCTACATGGCCTTGCACGACAATAGCATGGGAATGTATGCGGTTGCCCACGGTCGATGGGGCGTATTCTTCCTTTCTGTTTTCTAGCAGACTATTGTCGTGGTGCTGGATCCACGGATAGCTGAAATACCGTGCTTTTCGAATGCGCGCTCGCCGTAGAGCCAATGATTCATCTATGGAGACTGCAGTCGTCTGCAGTACCGTGGCGCATTGTCATGCCGGTCTCGCACTATCTTCTGACCCAGCGAGACTCCGAGCTGTTCTCTCATTTTCTCAATGTCGCGTTGTAGTTCGTCCTCGACCTGGTACTCCGCAGTGCACGACCATCGACAGAAGTGCTTGTCCTCCGCGGTGCCATGCCACAGAATATGCTGGCGAAGACCACATGAGCGCCACAATTGGAAGTAGATAGCATCGCGGACCTCGCGCGGCAGACGGCTGATGAAGGCGGACTGTGTCTGGTAGTCGCAAATCATTCTGACGCTGAACGAGTTGGCTAAGATATCAATTGAGCTGTCGAATGTCGTTTTTGTTTGAGCGATCCTGGCGGGGTTGACGAAATGCTGGCAGCAAACCTGCTGTTGCAGTAAACAGCGCAAGCACGACCCACGTGACTGTCTTTTGCATGGGTTGACAGCCCCCAAGTTGAAGGATTTGCAAAGCCACACTCAATATGTGAATGGAAGTTAGGGTCGAAGTAAGAAGGAATCTGTCACAGTTTCATCCATTGTACCTTTTCAGGATTGGCTGGTCATTGGGCCGCTCTTGTTCGCTATCATAAAAGAAGGGGCTCTACTATCAAGAGACCTGCCCGGCGCCTGGTGACACAATCTCAACCATGTAACGAGATGTTCCCGCACGTGAAAATTGTCCATACAACGTGTTTTGGTCATGAACCTTTTGCGATGGACTTACTCCACGCGTCCGTTACCGTGGACATCGGAAAAGAAATAAGAAGAAAAGAAAACATGTCTTACTCTGTGAAGCGTTTTTGACAGAGGCGTTGAACTTTGGTAGTAATTCTCACTAAAGGACCACGTGGTACGTTCCGAGCTGTTCCGTACGAGCTAGATCTCCCTTGGTATGTAGAAAGACTATTCCTCGCAGGTTCTTGCATAGTAAACGGCTGAGCAACATGTCAGCGAGTGAGTGCAGCCTCAAGGTTTCCCCCGTCGTCATTGACGCTCCCGTCAGGAGGTCATGTTTCCAACCTAAAGCTACCTCACGCGATCATAATCATTCGAAAATTCGAGATTCCGATCGATTTTTCGTAGAAAAGCCAGTGAGGGCGAGAGGACAGGCTTGGTAGCAAGGTATGAAGATAATGAGCACTCGCAATAAAACCACTCAATGATCTACATTTTCTTCCACTCATTCGACAAGATCGGCCATCTCCGTTTGTCTTACTCCGCGCCCGTAAGAACAGGATATCATATGGCCGCGTCGACAAGAGGTGTGTAGTTAACAGTCGGGATATCAGCGGGTAACAGCATGCGATGCTTACTGAGTAATTTCTGTGCCAATCAGTCATCTAAACGCCCGATAATCTACTCTCTTGACAGACCACTTTTCTTCCTACATGTTTCGTGAAGTGTGGAAATTGCTCGCTAATGCCGGGCGCTTTTGTTCATGTGCCAAGACTGGCTGCATTAAGAAGGTGGCTTGTAGCCGAGACAAAATCGCGCAAGGAGGAACCGATGTCTCTTAACCGACGTCTCTTACGCATGGCCAGCTACTGGATGCTGACAAGTGCATGTCTAACGACTATCATCTTTGTCAAATTGTCTTGTTGTTTTAGTCAGACTATTCCTTAGACTCTTGCCCAGACCCTAAGCAAATCAAGTAGTGAGAATTTGAGATCCGTAGAAACAATCCATTGGTGCGCCAAGTAAATCCCAGTTTATTATGAATCAAATTGTAACTCTTCTAATGTACCCGTCCGTCAAAGCAGCATAGACCGACGATCGAAATGCAGTCAGCTCGTATTTACTCTGGGGATGTTGTAGAAAGTTTATGGTGCCGATTGACCGCGCTGTACCTTCTCCCCACTTATTCAGGCGCCTGGGTAAATATGCATTGTCTCCACATAGGTATCTGAGCTGTCGTAAGTAGCAGTAGCCAAAGCATTCAACTATAAGCCCATACTGGTGAAAATACTACCGGACATCTCAGTGGCCTGCGATGTTCGAGCAGTGAGAACAGATTTATCTTCTTTTACTTAAAAGAATGGAAGAGCGGGAGGGACAAGAGAGCGGGCAGAGGCGCTATATTTCCTTTTGCCATTGTCAGTAGGCAGTATTATGCATCATGAGAGTAGTGTAGGCCGATCATGCTTATTTCGTTTTTCGTGAAAGACCCCGGTACTAATTTGAGTCCGCCTTTCCACGGTTCCACGAAAGACCCCCCTGTACCTGCATCTCGAAGCCCCTGTCATGCCACACTACCCGGGCGAAAGCGGCTCGGGTCGATCCTTGAAGATCTGGGGATTTTGGGGAGCAATAACGATCCTTTGAGGTCTTGGTGTAAGACAAGCTGCAGGCCGTTAAGCGACGTTATGAACGAGGATTCTTTAGGGGCACGTGATGCGATGCCTTCTTCGTGGTGCAGCGGCGACACAGGTTGTTGATAACTCGACTATAAAGAGGGCGTAGAGTCATCTCCTTTTTTGCAAACATCCGCAAAGCAGATCAGCTCAGTAGCCTCAGTAACCTGATCAGAAGACACCAAAACGGCCACAATACAACTCAAAAATTGTTCAAACTTTGGTCTCATAACACCAACTTATAACTACTCAACACCATGAAGTTCCAACTTTCTGCTCTTGTCTCCCTTGGAGCCTTCCTCGCTGTCGAGGCTGGTGTTGCCGGCGTCTCACAGTCGCAAAGTCTCTCTGCCCGCGATGGCGTCGACCTGGCTGTCCGGTCCGCCGCTGCCAACATGACTTGGGCCGACCTCGAGTCCGGCGCGGATGCTGCTGCCATCTGCGGCTCTCTGGGTGTTTTCGAGCTGCCCGAAGGCTCGGACCCGGCTCTCGTTCGACTTTGTTCCGATCACCCAAGTCTTGGCCGACCCGGCTCCAATGCTGGTGGAGTTGGCACTCTGGCCTGTGCCAAAAACCAGAAGGGTTGCGATAAAGGATACTGCTGGAAGCAGTGTGGCGAGAATGGTGCTGGTTGGTGGTGCTGGACAGCGCTCGGCGACGGCTCGGGCCCCTGGAAGACATGTGTTGCGGGTTCTGATTGCGGTATGGGGGATCCTTGCGGATGGTCGAAGAATTTGTGCCCTAAGTGTGGCTGCAGCTGTTAAGGCAAAATGAGATGCTGAAGAGTACAAGAATATCTGGGGGATTAAAGAGGTCATAGTTGAACAGGCAGAGTCAGTCAGACTCTATGGTCCATTTCTAGAGCACGTCAAGGTACATCTCAGCTTCCACATAGATACTCGCGGCGTTGCGCCATGATCGGCCAGCAAATATCAACACTATAACACATTGAAGTCACAGAGAGTGGACGATGAACCTGTTATTCACTGTAAATTCGATGGTGCAACACCATTTCTCTGCCCATTCCCCCACCTGGTCCACATGAGAAGTAAACTGATGATAGAGGTGCCATAGATGCTGGTTAGTCACGATTTTCAGAACGTCGACTCGAAGACAAAGCCTTGTGAGCACCGCCTGGTTAGCTCCAATAGCAGTGCAGCTGAAGATGGCACATTTCAGACTTGAACGTTAAACAGTCTAGACTCAGTAGCATTAAGAGCTGTAATTGCTATGCTTTACAGGCTGAGCTCTTGTTAACGCAGAGACAAACAGGGATTAACGCGTATGAATTTCACATGGTAATTCCTTTTCAACTGATCAGGTTAACGTCACAACAAGGTAGGCAAAAATTAGCATAATATAAGCAGGATTCACAAAAGAATCGGCCAGCGATGGTCCTCTGCAGCTTTCATTTTAGGACTCGGAAGCTGACTACAGGAACTTGTACTTCGGAGGATTGATTGATCATTGCCATAATTCATATCGGATCTGTAATACCTAGTCTACTGGCAGTCGGGGTAACAAAAGTCCTTCCGAACGACTCCAGCAAGGTACGAGCGACGACACAAGTGGAGTTGGGCTGATCGCTAACGACGCTGAGACGAGAATTGTGATTGAACTGTTACGCCGAAGTCACCCGACCAGGAGACGGGTTCGATCCCACTCAAACCACCCTTGACAAATGGAAGCTTGTACCCCGGATGTCGGGGAGTTCTACCTAAAAAATGGCATAAGCGCGACATAGTGTTGCACTCGGCTCTGAACATGTGGTGCCGTTTCCAGCAAAAAATCGGCAATCGTCGTGTAGGACTCGCGATCTTCCAGGGGCACGATCAAAGCATGTAGCCAGGCGCCAATGCCCATATATACACCTCCGCGCTTGGATATCCCCTAAATCCGTGCTCCAAGAAAACAAGTTTTATCGTTATTTTCCGAGCAGGAGGGTCAAGCCAGAGATGTCGCTCTCAGAGCCGCCCGATGGACTCGACCTCACCGATACCAAGGTCCCGTCGCTGGTGTCTGGGTTCGTCATCACATGGGTTCTTGGAGCAGCCACCGTTGCGCTGCGCGTTACAGCGCGGAAGCTTGTGGGAAACAAAATTTGGTGGGATGACTGGATCATAATCGTGTCTTTGGTAGGATTTCACCCATGTCCCGGACAAGTCGCTATCGTCAATATGGCCAAGGACTAACAAGCTTTTCCTACCAGATATTTTCAGCAGCTTTCATGTTCGACGTTACGTGCTACAGTCAGTTAAGCCTTTGACACCGCAATGTCTGACGGATTACCCTGGACTTTCAACTAACAGTAACGCAGTGACCATAAATGGCGGCTTTGGAAAACATGTTGGGGCTACGCCAAACGGCCTGAGGGTCTACTTCACGGGTGTTTTCATCGCCGAGTATCTGTATACGATCAGTATTTGTTCTCGTTAAAGCGGCGATACTCGCTTTTTACTGGCGAATTTTCAGCGCCCGACGCGAATCACGGCTTGCCATTTATATCTTACTAGGTATTACTTGCGCTTGGGGAATAGCAGTGGTAAGCCCGCCCCTTGACAAAAGCAGTCGCAAGCTCGTCAATGTTATGTTGGCTAACATTTAAGCTGCAGCTCTTGGTGTCGACCTTTCAGTGCCTTCCAGTGTCGGCGTTCTGGCTCCGATTCGACCCGAATGCCAATCTCTCACCGTCTGATTACGAGTGCAGCGTCAACGTCAAGACATTCTTCATTGCGAACGCAATACCAAACATAATGACCGATGTTCTCCTCCTGCTACTACCAGTACCAGGCATTTGGAGTTTGCAACTTCGCAAACCCCAAAAAATAGCTCTGGTGGGAATCTTTACTCTTGGCATATTGTAGGTTCCCCCATCTTAGAGTTGTGGCCAGAACTGGCGCACTCATTTTCGTGCTACTGCTGATACCAAACCTTGCATACACAGCGTCACTGCAGTGTCGTCATCCGTCTGCACTATGTACTTGCAATTGACTTTGCCGACCCTGACACTACGTGGTTACTAACCGAAGAGATGATGTGGACTGGCATCGAAGTCAACATCGGCACTGTCTCCGGTATGTCAATTTCATGACTCCCGTTCTAACAATCATCCGGATACTTACTCCCCCAAGCGTATCTACCGTCTTTGAAACCAATATTCAATTTGGCACTGCATGGTAATGTTCAACAAAGTAAACCAGCCACGGGAAGTGACTTGGGTATCAGCACTGCAGGAGGCTCTAGCGGGCCTTACAAGCGCGGTGGAGACCAAAGGAAGAGTGCATTTGGTACGAGAACCTCTGAACGACGAGTGATGGAGGATATGCATCCATTATCAAGTCACACAACAGATCACGAAATGGACAGCTGGACAGAGCATGAAAGTCAAGAATTGGTAATAGAGCAGACAACCAAAGGGCGGATGGAATCAGGAAAACGCACACAACAATCCTGAGCCTTCATTGGGTATAGCAACAACGTACTGGGGTATCTGAGGTCTAGCAAATTTCTAAACCACGTCTAATCACCATGATATCGGTATCCATACTTACAATGTCAACCCAGTCATCCCCACTTAACATGCCCTCACTCACTAAACCATTTCTCTGAGAGTAGCATCTCGTCTCACTTGAAAATGAGTCCAGTAGTACCTGTTGGAGTCTCGATACGTTATGGTCATCGTCAAGCATGTGATGTGTGTATCGGATCAACGGCGCTCAAAGTATTTGGCTTCGTTAGCTGCCAGGCTGAGTCGTAGTACAACGAATATGCCCGCCAGGGCGATGTTGTTTAATATCCGAGAGTGATCGGGTCCCCTTATGAGTGGGGTTCTAATAGTTTTGATGGTGTTCTTGGAGCCCAGTGGGGCAATATGCGGCCATTTGAAGCTACTTGTCTCCCCAATAAAGTTATGACAGACTTCTAGAAGGTCGCTGACCTCCCTTCAGATGGTCACCGGACGACAAAGACCCTTGAAAGAGATACTTTACTGAAATGTGATTGGACAACAAAGCTCTACGGATCTCCTAGAAAGGGGTTCGAAACGGCCATGCCAGGACATTACATGAGTCCAAACGCTCCCAGCGGTCCGAACTTAGGATGCAGCGCCTATGCCGGAAGCTTTATATAAAGGAATCCTTCATCGGGTGTTCTTCCCTGGCTGGATCTACAAGCTTAGACCTTTTGTATCCATCCCGAGATATAATGCCCGTTAAAAGTAGGGCGAGCGTCAGTCGCCAGTAGCGGAAGCATGGTCGAACATACATGTGTCGCTGACTTTTCCACGCATCCAATCTAACATGATAAACCATGCAATCGACTTCTAAGCGTTGAAAGTATTTTATTAACCGCATAGAATGCATCCTATCTCTCGATTAGCGCCTGTCAATTAAAATCATCCCGAATCGGTCTCAATATTCTGGTACCTTATCGTACGATCGAGGAAGCTTGTTTTCTCAGGCCGGCTACCGGCAACACGATGAGAAGCTTGGGTGAAAACCAAGAACGAAACGAGATCAAAGTTCGGGACGAAATGCCAGATGAGAATCCCGGAAAACTTACTAGTCCGCGATGCTCGCATGCTAGCACGTCGCACGAGTCTCTCGGAGAACGCCCTGCAAGGTCGAGAAATACATACACATACCTATCTAGAGAGCCGAGAAAGTCCTTCCAGTAAATTCACGAACCTTCGTCGACTCTACCTAGCCTTGTTTTCTGATGAACTTACATCCAAGGCGATGGAAATCCATCTTATGCGTTGTCAGACATGGTGTTGTACATCAAAACTAGCAAAAGCCGTGTACGCAGATGGTGCTTGAAGACGAAATTGAAAGCCGGCCTTTCCTGTATTGACTCATTGTATACTGATGCTGCTTCTCACAATGAAGAATTCAGATGTCAATCGGAAGGGTCCGTCCGCAATGGTATGGATGTTGCGCATTACATCTTCTGAAATGGCCATGGAACTTCACCGGGTCTTCAGTTGCGGAATGATTCAGGGCATTGTTCTGTATGTGGTCCCTGATTAACAAAATTCAAATCCTCTTCTCCGTTTACGACGTTTTAATTGCCTTCAAAAGTTGACAGCTATTACTATACACCACAGCCATGACCAAACGGGATGCTTCTGACACGCCGCAAAGTAAAAAGACCATCATGTGAGCCCTGCAGTGCTATCTTCTATGAAATTGGTGCATCAGGTCTCCGTGATACTCGCAAGAATGACTGGACTTCTTCGTTTCCACTCTGTGCCGATCGGTTCTTCTGAAGTGACGCGTTTATTGTTCGCGTCGCCGTTTTATTCTATTGGGGCAAGCAACGAGACCCGAGACCTTCGCGATTTCGCGGTCTTTCAACAAGTCAATATACCTCTAAGTAATGGTACTCGACTCGAAAGAGCATGCTCTTCGAGAATTGCAGATTGAAGTAGCTGAACAGATGTTTCTCTTGTGTCTTTGTTGCCTATTAGAAGGACGGCTGTCGCGCCAATTTCAGACGATGAATCATTTGACTTCACAGTATTCAATACATCGACCAAGCTAGATATCTCTTTTTTCACGTCACTTCAATCCGCTTTATATCCTTGCCTGCTGAACCATTTCAGCATGAAGTTCGCCGTCTTTACCATCATCGCCAACTCGGCCCTGATGATCACCGTCGTTCCCCTTGCGTCCCCGCAGAACAAGAACATCGGGAATCCTGCCCTCAAGAAGGGTAGTACACCTTGTAGCCGACGTGGTGCTAATTACGAAAACTGCAGACCGGGAGGCGGTGGTTCTGGTCCGAACCCCAATTCGAGCCGTGGATGCAACAAGATCACCGGGTGCCGTGGAGGTCCTGGGGCTAAGAAAGGTATGGTTTTATCCTTCAACTTCAAAATTTTCAGAGGAGAAAGTTCATTCCATTTCCCTACCTAGGTGCGAATAAAGCGCCATGACTTGGCCGGTCTGTTCTTTAAAGCTCTCCCGCTGCCTTCGTTAATGAGCACAAGGCAATCAATCATGGCGAACATCACTGACAGTGTTGTTTCAGTATGGCTGCTCAATCATTTCGGTCACTACAAAATTTTATACAAGGCTCTTTTTGAGATTATTCAATAAGACTGTCATTAACTCGATCCAATGTCACCTCATGAGATTATTGCTGGCGGTCTGCGCTACAGTCCGTTGCGTTGACAGCGTCCGCCCCCGACTTTGACCCGGATGGAAAATTTTCCGCTAGCCCGAAAACCCCCTTAACTTCCTAAAACTTCACACTTGAATAACTCTATGCGTACGTAATGCGCGAGAATAAAAATAATACCACTATAATTACCTAATCGAGGGCTATCGATTGATATATTTTTTATTCTCGCGCACTACGTACGCATAGAGGTATCTAAGTGTGAAGTTTCGGGCGATTTGGTGGGTTTTCAGCAAAAAGCCCCTTTTTTTGCCTTTTTTTGGGCCGAAAATTGGGGGGCGGACGCCGTCAACGCAACGGACTGTAGCATCGCTCGCGACGTCTCATCAGACACCAGGACCATGGTCTCCTCCTGTTTAAACTTTCGGTGGACCCAGCTCAATGCATGATTGAAAAATTGAAGGAATAGAGTGGATAGATGCGTTCCTACCTTAGATATCAAGATCTGCCGACATCGTCAGGTCGGGTCCGAGATGAGGCCGATTATTGGCAATAACCAGTGCAGAGATGAACTAAAGACTTCTCAACTCTGCTTCAATAGATTTCCTAGAATACTTTCTTTCGGACATAAAGCACTTGGCTGTCGTGCGACGGACTCTGGTGAAGGCCGGCTACTTCTTGTCGGACGCTATCCCACCGGTTTGTGGAGTATCGTGTCTTCCCCTATGTCATGTTGTTAGAAACCATAGCACCGTGATTGGTCCTTAGATGACTTGATGCTAAGTCATTGACGATGCCAGCCAATCGCTTGCACATACACTGCATGGATACATACGCTACGATCCATTCTGAAAGTCCGTCTCCGTCAGTCCATTCTTGGCAGAGTGCGAATGTCCGCCTCACAACCTTGAGCATAGTGTTTCTGGAACTACGGCAGTTCATGGAGACAGACGAGTTTATGAGTTTCTGTCTTTGTCAGTTTCTGATTTAAACGCAAACAGTTCCTCATGCTATCATGACTCCAAACTCGCAACTTCGATCTACTGCAAAACAAGCAACATACAAGCGATGGACCACCTGCATAATACCTCTACCATTTGGGGTCAGCCATCGATCTATGATGGCGACAACACGTCATTATTGGCTGCCCTCTTAGCCATCACTCTCATTGTGACCATCCCTTCCTTCTTTCTTTTCAGTGGCGCAAGCAAGCTTCCGATCATCAATCCCAAGAAGTTCTATGAACTCACGGCTTCCCGTTCGGTCTTTGAATTTGCTGTAGCTGGGCGGGAGCTTCTTGCATCAGCTCGAGCGAAATTTGGTCCCGTACCTTTCCGCGTTCACACTGATATGGGAACCTTCATCATTCTTCGCCCTGAGCATGGCGAAGAAATTCGCAATGATCCCAGGTTCGGGATTGATGAACCCATCATTGAGGTGCGTCTTGCTTCAAGGGGCTTGGTGCATTTTGCACGGGAGAACTTCAACATGTTCTGACTTCACATGTGGCGTAGTTATTTCAAGCCCATTACGCCGGCTTTGAACCGTTCATGGAGGGGGCTTTGCCAACGAAAC